TTATGTTGATAGTGAACACTTTGGTCCACAGTTACTTTATGAATGCAAATAAATTATACCACAAAACTCAAGTCTCCAGCTACTGTCCCCAGGCTCAGGAGAGTGTGAGAAGTGGACCCCTGTTTCACAGCAGAGGCCATCTCTAAGTGAGACATGCCTTCTACTATGCCTCATCAAGGCAGAAAAAGGCAAAAAAAAAGTTGGAGGGTTAACCAAGGGTGCTGCTGCTTGATCAGTAAATTATTTGGCTTTGTGTTGCTAGAGTATTGTTCAAAGACAGTCAAAAGATGTGTGTGTCCTAAACTACTTTAGGACACACACAAACACTACTTTTTCTTTACCATTGTCCCACTGCTCAGTGTGAAGGCCAGTTAGCTTTCTCAACAGATTTGTGTTGGATACATTTCACAAAGATAATCAAGATAAAGGGGATGTTTAAAGCAGGAAACCAAATCAAAAGTGAATCAGGCAGGCTTATTGGCAAGAACAAAATATATCCCAGCCTTGCAGAAAGAGTCAGGTTCTGACCTCCTGCAGGTGCATGTCTTCCTTGGTAGCTGATTCTGAAGTCTGAGTGAAATCAAGACCAGAGAAAGGCCTCGTGTTTGCAAAGAGCTTCCACCTGTTTTGTTCTCTGCTGCATGAGACCAACCTAAATGGCTTTCACCAGACTGGAACACAGAGTGGCAGTGTGTTTGGCTGGGTGTATGAGGAGTGTGAGTATGTGCAGGAGTGCACATGACAAAACATTTCAACTGGTACGAGGATGGCTAAGGTGAGGTACTGCACATGGGATCCTATACTTGTGAATGGGGATAAAAGGGAGTGCCCTTTATTTACACTGGAAAATTGGATGCACAAGTTATACCATACCTCATGGATGATGTATGTTGCCATTTCTTTTGGATTACTACAGCTGCTGAGGACGTTGCCATGCTTAGAATATAAAGGAGTATATTAAGCACAAAATTTCAATGTTGTGTCTGTGTAGCTGCTACTTCTACAGTATGTTTAGTGTTTGGTAGTGTCCATGTCACAAATGCAAAGAGAAAGTTGTTACTTTGCCATGTATTTCAGGACTTGCATGTTCTAGTAGAATAAATACAGGTAAAAATAGAAGAAGGGCCTTTTCAGAAAATACATAAAGGTTTGGATTCCGTTCCATATTCTCTGGGCTGAAAGACAGTTGGTGTAATCCTGACAGCATCAGTACAGGTCATGCTGCATAAACAGGTGGTTGTCTAGACTTTTCCATAACTTCTGTGTACTGTCTTAAGAGGATGTGTTCATTCCTGTAGCCATTTCCCAATGTCTCACTGCCACTAAGCCACAAGCCAGGGCATTAGCTTTTAAGAACATGAGTGTTCTGTATTTCTTTTCACGTTATATCTGTATCAATATTTACAAAGCAATGCCTAAGTCATGGGGATTGCTGAAAAAAATTCTAGAAATCTAACCCTGTGGTCCTTGGGCTTCTCCTCTGCCTGGGAGGAGCTCTGCCAGCAGCTGCAGATCCAAGCAGTCTTGTGAATCACATAATAAGGGAGACTTGAGGAAGGTACCTGTGTCCAAAAGAGGGATGGTCTTATATGCAGCAGGCTGGAAAAAACCTCAAAGATAGCATGAACTGAGGCAATTGTGTCTTATTTTCTTGATTTGAAGCAGGCAACTGAGTATAGATTATGTTATTGATGAATATGCCATTTTAATTAAGTTTGTTAAATGTCAAATGTTGTATTTTTAAATCTAGCAAGTTATGGAATCCTTGCATATGTTTACCACTGCACCCTGCTGGATCAGGCTGGCTCCCACTAGAGAATTAGTAGCTGCAGGTTTTTGACCTTCGACACTGAATAATCTAACTTCTGTTAGATGAGTCACTTCCTATATACAAACTAAACACTAATGCTTGCTGCCCACAAAGTGATGTACTCTAAAAAAGGCACTTATTTTAGTTCTAAGTTCTGCTTTTCTGAATAGAGGCACATACCCAATGAGAAGTTCCCACAGTTTGACCATCAAATTTCAGGGAGACGTGACAAGTGCCCTGCTGTGTAAAAGTGCCCAGGGAAGAGCTATTCTGAGACTGGACCAGAAAAGCAGATAAAATACATATTTTGCTGTAAGTACAGCAAGTTTTCGTACAGATTCATGAATATAAAAATAGCACATGCTTACATGCCTTTCTGAATGGAAACCTCAATGACTTCCCTTTCTGGAGCTGGCATGATTGGCTTTCACAGTATTAAAAAAAAGAAAGTGACAGAATGTGTTCCTTGGGCTTGCCCTTGGCATTGCCCTCCTCTGCACAGATTTCCTGCCTCAAAACTGTTTGAGTCTCAGCAGCAAGGAGGGAACACCATGGCAAAGATCACCCGGCACGACACAGGAATTCCTACAGCAGGGAGAGTCCCTCTGAGCACAGGTGGCTGGGAAGGCCCAGCCTTCAGCCCACATCCAGCTGAGATCTTTGCATGGAACTTTCTCGGTTCTGCTTACCTGTGTGGTAACTCATAAAACATTGTATCAGCAACATTTCATTCAGATTTTGGGGTAAACACAAAAAGGTTCAGAAAACTGTCATTTTCTTCAGCACACCAAATGTTTCATAAAGCCAGAGAAGAGAAATCATTTTCAATCTTAAGTTTCCTTAGTGGTAGCCAGAGAAGTCATTACCTTGCAAATTATTTATTACTCTGCGGCTCCAAAAATAACAAACTCTCCCAAGAATCCAAAACAAGAAAGTAGAAACTTCTACACTCATGGCTAGTCCCATTACCAGGCTTATGCACATGACAACTTTGTTTCATATAAATGGTATGTATAATTTTATTAGAAATAAATATTATTTTGATGTTAAGACATCAAATTATAAGCAGAAGGATAATAAAGAATTTGTTATTTTATTAATATTAGAAATATATTTAATGGGAACATTTGCAAGAGTGTGTAGTGATAAGAAAATTCTGATTGTTAATGGGTTTAACATTTTGTTGCAAGGCTGTAGTTCTGACACACAAGAATTCCTATATAGTCAGACTAAATAAGAAAAGGAGAGGAAAATTGATTGTAAATGGAATTAGGATGGTGCCTGGAGTTACTGTTAGCATCACAGCTTGCATAGCCTTCTGCCTAGAAGTATTTCAGAGTTAATGTACCAAGTCCCAGAGCAGCAACAAAAGGTGGGGGTGAGGTCCAATTCTCTCTTAATTTCACACTTTAAAAAATCCATACGTTTGTTCCTTTTACACATTCCAATAACTATACTGTTCACTTTATTTATATATAAAATACTAAAATGTGTATAAGATGACTGTGATTTTATGATGTATTCAAAATAACAAAGATATTTTTTCTTACACTGTTGGTAGCTGCTTTTTATTACACTTTGCCCTTTCTCTGCAACTGTAAGAAACAGATGGCAGGAAATCTCCTTACTGTGCCTTCTAGCACTTTTCTTGGAGCTGAACAATACTGTCATAGTTCTTCGACTCTGGGACATGAGCTCTTGCAAGCTGGGGTGGGTTTCAGACTTCGTGGGAATAAAGCACACAGCCACCCTGCCCTGTGGATGGTTGGTGGCTCCTTTGCCTCATCAGGGCTACACGAGGCTGGATCCAGCACCGCGGGCTGCCGGGTGCGCGCAGCTGCTGCACAGCCCGGGGATGCGGCACGGGGCTCCGGAGCTCCCCGGCATCCCGCCACCGCTAATGGGGAAATACCCGATACGCGGGTAGATGTGTAAACAAAGGAAAACGAAAAGTATCTATAAATCATAGTGAAACATGGGGGGGGGGGGGGGGGGGGGGGGGGGGGGCGGGGAAGGAAAAAAAAAGGGAAAAGTTGGACCAGTCACAGAAACAACCGTCTTCAGTTTTAGAAAGTAGATAGTGGAGGCGAAGTGTTAAAGACAAAAATCTATGGTTAGCAGATCTAGGAATGAAAAGGTAGACAAAGGAGTTCCCGGATCCTGCTAGTAGATCCTGAGGATCCTGCTAGTAGTACTGTTCCCGTGACAGTATGAGGATAACAAAACAGAACTGTCAATAATTCGTGGAAAGCAGGATCTCAGTCACATGATGTGTGCATTTGGGGAAAGCCAGATGGTAGTCGTATAACACGATGCACGATGGTAGTCGTATAACACGATAACACGATCCTTTTAACCAATTACACAGCAGTGTATTTAAGTCAGACATTTTAAAATCTTCTTGTTTAATTGGCTTACATCCGATAGTTTTAAAAAGAACTAGCAGAGGACCGCCGGGACCCTGGCTCGCCGCGGCGCGGCTCCTTCGCGCCCGCAAGCATCCCCCGCTCGGCCGGGTCCGCCCCGGTCCCTGTCCCGGTGCGAGGTCCCGGTACGCGGCTGCGGGCTGAACTCCGAGAGGAGCAGCAGGGCGACGGAGGTGATCGTGTCCCAGCACGGAGCGCTGCGTCCAGTTCTGGGCTCCTGAGCGCCAGAGAGACGGGGAGCTCCTAGAGCGGGTCCAGCGGAGGGTGGCAAAAGGAATTAAAGGGCTGGAGTGTCTCTTATGAGAAAAGGCTGCAGGAGCTGGTCGTGTTCATCCTCCAAAGGAGACTGAGAGGGGACCTTATCCATGTCTGTCAGTGCCTGCAGGGAAGGGTCAGGGGATGGACCAGGCACTGCTCGGTGGTGCTGAGCGATAGGACACGGGACAACGAGCCGCAACCGGTGCACAGGAAGTCCCACTTCAGCAGGAGGAAGAACTTCTTTACTCGTTCGGGTGACCGAGCACTGGAACAGATTTCCCGGAGAGGCAGCGGAGTCTCCCTTATCCGAGACACTCAAGAACTGCATGAACGCGTTCTTGTGCCGTGTGCTCCAGGATGACCCTGTTCGAGCAGGCAGGCTGGATCAGCTGTCCCGCCGTGGAGCCTCTCCAGCCTGACCCGTTCCGGGACGGCGGGACTGCGGCTGTGACTACAGCTCCCAGCGGGCTGCGCGGCGCCCGGGCGCTGCCGGGAGGCGGCGGCGGAGGCCGGGCGCTCGGTCGGTCGGCGGGATGCGGCTGTCGGTGGCGGCCGCCATCTCGCATGGCCGCGTCTACCGGCGGCTCGGGCTCAGCCCGCGGTCGCGCCTGGACCTGCTGCGGAACTTGGTGACAGCGCTGGTGCGCTATGAGCGCATCGAGACGCCCTGGGCGCGGGCCGACGAGATGCGCGGCTACGCCGAGCGGGTGAGCGGCGGCACCGCGCCGGGCCGGGCCGGGGGGTGGCGGGCGGCCGAGGCACCCTGACCCACCGCCTCCTTCCTCACCCGCCGCCTCTCTCCTGACCCGCCGCCTCCTTCCCCCCCGCAGCTCATCGACTACGCCAAGCGGGGGGACAAAGACGAGCGCGCCATGCGCATGGCGGATTTCTGGCTGACCGTAAGTACCCCCCAGTCCCGCATCGGTCCCGGCCCGCCGCGGAGCCGGGGCTGAGCGTGCCGCCCCGCAGGAGAAGGACCTCGTCCACAAGCTGTTCAAGGTGCTGGCGCCCCGCTTCCAGCCGCACGCTGGCAGCTACACGCGGCTGCTGCAGATCCCCAACCGGGACGGGCTGGACCGCGCTAAGATGGCGGTGATCGAGCTGAAGGGGAACCCGCTGCCGCCGCTCGTCCGCCCGCGCCGCGACTCCGACAGGACCCTGCTGAACCAGCTGCTCAAGGGGTACCGGCAGGACGCGCAGCGGGCCCGCGGCACCCCCGTCTAGGGCACCCCCGTGGCCCAGGGAAGGGATGGTGTGTGAGGCAGGCAGGAGGGATGGAGGGTGATGGAAGTTGCCATGGAGAGGGCTGCTGAGTTTCACCACTTCCTCCCGATAGTTTGAAGATGACACTCAGCAGGAGAAGGAAATAAAGCTAGGAGCTGTGATGATCGGTATTTTCTATGTAAATAAACTTTGTTTGGAAAGTCGGTTTGCTTGTATTTGAGTTGTGTTCGGAGAATCATTTAGGGCAGAAAAGACCTCTGAAGTTATCAGATCCAGCCTATGACCAAACACCACCGTGTCTGCCAGACTATGGCACTAAGTGCTGTATCCAGTCTTAATTTTAACATCTCCAGGTGTGATTGGAACTGTGTCTCCATCACATCCTGGGCAGCTCCTTCGTGTCTATTCACCCCTTTTGTGAAGAAATTCTTTGTAATGTCCTACATAAACCTCCCCTGACTCAGCATAACTCCTGTGCTTGTAAGTTAATAGCTTATTCCAGAAAAATGGATTTGCTAACAGTGTGTTCTAGGAGCCAGTGTTCAGCATTTCAGGGTGGGAAGTTTGGTGAGAAATAAGATACTTTTGCTGTTTAAGAAGCAATGAATGTAAATAGGATGGTAACACTGAGCTGAGTACTATAAAGAGAAACCAAAAGAAACTTGTCCTCTAAGGTGGTAACATACTCATGAGTCATAGTAATCCAGCAAGAGCTTGACAGACCACCCCAGCTTCAGAGGCAGGATTGCAAGACATCTCTATTACTCTATTGGAACAAAAAGGGGCAGTAGCAGAACTTCTTGAGAATAATACAACTACTGAGCAATAAGAATGTTAATTTGTTAGCTTTGTCTTTAATTTCAGGCCCAGCTAGTTCTTGAAAGTCCTAGCTGTAACTTTGAATTGAAAAAAACCCCAAAACAAAACCCAAATGTAAAATCACAGGATAGAATACCCAGTTGGAAAGGACTTCAAGAACACCTGGCCCAACCTTTCTTGGCAAAACACAGTGGAACCAGTGTGGCTTCCTAAACTTTGTTGCATTTCTTCCTCCCAAGTTTCACAAATTTAAGAGATTTAAACAAGTGGCCCTGTGTAGCAAGCTAATTGTATGGAAAGGCAAAGAACCCCCATTATATATTCTCTCTTTGAGACACTTACCTCACACAGTACCAGTTCTAATAAACTGTTTTAATAAACGCCAGTGAGAAATTAAGGATGGGTGGTACTGCTTAAGGAAGAGGAAAAAACAGTCAAACTGCTACAAGGTCAGTCAGAGAGACTTCAATCTTTTTGTTTCTAATAACCTTGAAATTGTTCTCTTTGCAGTTGACTGTATTCAAATAGATGTTTTCTGAACCAAACTGCTGCACAACTTCCACATTATTAAAAGTCTATGCTGAGGCTTTAACAAAATACAAAAGTTCCTTTAAAAAAATGAGGGAAAACAAGTCACACTCCCATCTGCTTGACCTTAAGTTATCTTGAGTTTACTAAAGTGCAAAAAAGCTAGAAGCTTCTAAGCTAAATTGGGGAAAATCCTTGATAAGTGGGATTTTTTTGTGCACAAATGCTTTTTTTGCAGTATCTGTATGAGCATTAGGGCAGCTAACAAAGCATTCATCATCTCACAAACACAGTGCGTAGTCCTTCTCAATCCAGTGCTACTATATGTCCCTGAACATTTTTATAAGGTTGTGGAAGCTTCTGCCATGAGGGTGGTTGTCCTGCCAGTCTGTCTTGTACTCAGCTGGGTCAGGCTTTCAGCTGCCTGCAGAGGAAAACAAAGGGGAAATTCACAGTTAATGTGGGAAATCTGTCCTCATTATTCCCTTGTGTCCTGGCTGCCAGGATCAGGCTGCTTCCATTGCCCTTATAACCACACACAGGTCCAGAGGTCACTTCTATGTCCTGTCCTCCTCCACCTCTGGAGCCTGGATGCCTACCTGACCGCAGCTGTGAGACTCCGGTACCAGTCATTGATCTCTTGTTGGTTGCTGGACATCAACAGCAGTGTCTTGTGTGGAAAGGAAAGCTGAAAAACAAGCAGAATTTTTGGCATTCCTTGCCAAGGCAGCAGCTGCAGTAAAATCATCACCACTGAATTCAGTCCCTGCATGCTAATTTTTACCCTCTTTCTTCCCACACAGAAAAATCTAGTCTTAATATTGAGTGAAGCCCGAGACTGTACAGTACAGAACAAGTGCCAGTCTTGTCCATTGTTTCCAGTCACAGTTGACAGCTCATTCTGACCTGTTTGGAGGTGAGCAATTATTCTCAGCAGCTCATCCAGTTTTCTACCATATTCCATGTCCCTAGGGGTCCTTCCACTGCCATCATCTACAGCTCACAGCTTGCTCAAAAAGTTCTTTGTCATAATTCACAAGAAAAGAGCTAACACAGCCCCAGGTGCAACCTTGGAAGAGCTGACTTTGAAACCCCTGCAGAGGGGGGTTGCAGAGAGAAGACAGGTCCCTGTCAAGGAATCTGCAGCCCTCAGGGAGTTGGATGCACATCTGTTTCAATAACATCCACATCTTTTTCATTCTCTGTTTTTCCATGTGTTCAGTCTGTAATCTGTAATTTATTGTCATGTGAGTGTGTGGCTGTCCCCTGGACCTGTGGCTCTGATGAGGGCATGTCAGAGTCCTGGTGGAGCCTCCTCACCTGAGCTAAGATAAGCAACCAGCAGCCTGTAACCCCAGAGTGTGCAGGAGGCTCCACTCCACAAAAGGAGAAGTACCTGCATCACTCAAGAAGGAAAGGGTTGTCCTAACTCAGACTTGCTCACTGCATTTTTGTCACCACTGTCATCATCTCGGTCCCTCTGCTGCTGAGACAGCTGGAGACCTGCTTACAGGGCTGACTCCACTGGCACTTCTGCCTGCCACAGGTGGGAAGACTTACACTGAGGAGCCCTCCTTGGCTCCACGAGTGGCCGAACACTTTATCCACTGAGCACTGGTGGAGCGGGTAGACAGCCTGGCAGGACAGTTTGCTGGAGTTGAGCAGGTGCAGCGGGTGGCAGGGCTTCGCCGCAATGAGGATATCAGAGAACAGGAAGAACATCCTGCGCTTCAGTTCTTCTCCCTTTGCAGGCACCACCAAAAGCCAGCCTTCCCGGATATACCAGCGCCCTGGGCATGGAAACAGAGGCAGCTGTGAGAGCTGAGGGAGGGCAGGCAGGAGTAAAAGGTAAGGGATGTAATGAGACAAACAGGAATATGGGGTGAGCCACCCTTGTAGGCTGCCGTGTCCTACATCAATTCCAGCCACTAGAAGGCACTGGATGTCAGCTGGGTCCGGCCCACCAGCGCCGATAGCACCCGCGCAGAAGCAGAAACCAGCCCAAAACGTTTAGTATATGAACAGCAGCTGAAGTTGTTATAAATCTACTATTTTAACTAAGAGTATATTATCATATGCAAGTCTGTTTAAAGTGATCAGAACAAAAACACAGTTTGAGAACGGTTTGCATACCTTTAAATTAACATAAGTCTTCAGAAAACACAACATGAACTATCTCAAACTGTGTTGCCCACTTGTTTGTCATTAGTGATATAACAGAAAGTAGCTTCAATTTTGAAAACTTATCATATTTTCCTTGTTTTGTGTGTGGTAATAAAATAAATAAGCTCAAAAAACCTCCCCAAAACAAAACATAACAAAACCATATTTCACAGATCTTCTAACTATATACAGACATACAGTAGCAAGAAAATACCAATTGCAGATTACTGTTCTAAAGAGAAGGCATGAAAGGAGATAGAAAATGAGGAAGATCTGAATAGGCAACCTTATTCACCTCTCTTGCAAAACAGAGCCCAGTGTCATCCACCTATGAAATTAATTGTGATAAAACAAGAGCAAAAGAAAGCAGGAGGGAAATAATCAAAACAATTTGATAAACCTAGCTGTAAGCAGCAATTTAAAAATAATAATAATGAAATAAATAAAATAAAGTAGGACTTCTTACTAAGATTATTGTGGAAGATAGCCATCAACTCATGGGAATTATGAGGACACCTGCCAGGAAGATTATTCATAAAACTGTAAATCCATAACAAGGTATTGCCACCTGATCTTGTTTAGGAAATATCTGCCAGGGAATTTCAGCCACTCTTTCATGCCTTAGCTTCTGCATGAGCTATAAATACCTTTTAGAATAAAAATACAGTGGATTTCATTGTGGATTGTGTCTTATTAGAATGCTACAGTCACAAAACAAAGAAGCGAGTGAATTCCTGCTTAGCTTATTCCACTGGAACCACTCCTCTTACCTTAATAAGAAACTGAGGAAGAGAAGGGTGAGGAATCAATCCAGGTTTAAAAAAACTAATGGGAGGAAGGTGTCAGAAGCATGGGGCTGGGATGGAAGCTGTTTCCCTCAGGCTATATTGTGATCAGATTCACAGGCATACAATCTGCCCAGACTGTACTGGAAGTCTTGGAATATAGATCCATGTCCAGGATTCCCAGGTGTACAAGTTCCAGGAAGTTGTTGTGAAAGAAGGGCAAGAAAATATCCCAGGGGAAGCTCTGGATAACAGAACAATGTGCTCAGTTAAGGAGGCAGCTCTGGCTGATACAGTATTTGTCCTGAATGTGGAAGGCAGCAAGAAAAGCAGGGTCTCCTTAGTGGTAGCAGGATATCTCAGAGACACTGGAAAATGAGAGATACCCATCTCCAACACTCCCCCTTTGTTCTGAACCCACAGCATTTTGTTTTCTCTCATGTTCCTTCCTGCCTGGCAATAGGACAATCTTAACTGTCCTGCAAAAGCTATTTTGTTTCTGGAAAGCTGGCCCAAAACCAGCAAGCCCCAGCTGACTCTTACATTTGTGCTTCTCATATCCAATGCTAACTATGTAACTCCAACCAATGGAAAACATGACTACAAGAATTCTCTGTCCTAGATAATGGAAATGCCTTTACTGACCCTCAACTCTCATCCTACTACATCTCAGAATTTTTAGAGACCAAAATAATCAGACCAAACACTGAAACAATGGCCATCTCTGGTCTAGTTATACTGTTTTGGGGAGTTTCTTTGTTTGTTTTCATGGCGTAATCTTATTAGTTCTAACATTAATCAGGATAACTGATTTACCTTTTTACTTACACACTACCCAAGTGTTCCCAGGCACCCCCACACATGCTTCTGTTCAGTATAAGCAGAGCATTCCTGTGTTAGCTCCCTTTCACCTGGCAGCACCAAAATATTCTAAGGACAGGAAAGAGAATTGTAAATTAATTTGCCCATTGCCTGAGAATCTTTGAGAATAACCTCTGATAAGTAACCTTTGTTCTACCTATGCTGGTTTGGTTGGGATAGAGTTATCTTTTCCCATAGTGGCTGGTTTGGATTTGCACTGAAACCACCATTAACACCACAGGGATCTTTTGTTTATTTCTGTGTAGGCACTACTCAGTGTCAAGGTATTTTCTGCTGCTCAAGCCACAGGTGAGGAGGTTGGGTGTGCACATGAATGTGGGAAGGGTCACAGCTGGGACAGCTGATCCGAAATCCCCCAAGGGACATTCTATGTCATATGGCATCATGTTCAGCCTGTTATGCTGGGGAAAGAAGAAGGAAAGGGGGGAGATTTAATGTGCTGGCTCTTGTCTTTCCAGGTAACTACTATGGCAGGGCCCAGGTCAGAGCCCTTTCCTTGGAATAGCTGAACACCTGCCTGCCCATGGCAGATGGTGGATGAATTCCTTGAATGGTTTTGCATGCATGAACAGCTTATGCTTTACTTGTTAAACTCTCTTTATCTCAGCCCACAAGCTTTGTCTGGGTTTTTCCCCATCCCAGTGGGGAAAGATTTTTTCATCCAAAATCCACACATGTTAATTACAACCACATTCACAGGTACCTGGAGGTTCTTGCATTAAAAACCTTCACACACAGTGACTTTAACACTCCTCTGCAGCTGCAGCACTGTGCCTGGATAACCTCTGAAATAGCTGAGTTGAGTAAAGCTACAGGTGAAACCCCAAATGACCATCTCATAATTGCTCAGACTGGGCACAGTTCTCACAATATTTCCTACACAGCTCAGAGGGTGGTCTGGGCATGGATAGCCCCCAGTCACAGAAGAGACCTATCCATTGAAATGTTCTTACATGCCAGTGACTGTGGCTTAAACTATCTCAACAATCAACACAAATACAGTGATTTCTGGCTCAGTTTAACCATGCAGATAAAATTCTTCATATGAAGGGTGAGAGCAGAATGCCAATAATCTTGTTGCTTAATGTGAACAACACCACAGTTCTTGTGCCCTGGACACTCAGGAACCTGTGATTCCTGCAGTGGAGTAGGTATAATGCCACTGCTTACACTCAGCCAAAAGAATTTAGTGTCTCTCTTTCATTCCCACCCAGGATTTACACTCCTGATCTTTTTGGGCTCCTAACTTTCTAACCACATGTCATCAGCTTCTCCTATCTGAATGTCAGGCAATTAAACTGTTGCTTATCCTTACTCATAAATTCTTAATAAAAAACAAAAAAAAAAAAAGAGTGTTTGAATTAGTAGTCATACTCCTTTACCACCTACCTTTGGAATTTGGGCAGAAGGGGAAAACTGGTTAATGTGAGTTGAGTCAGAGATGAAGGAGAACATACGTACAAATATCTCAACATGGCAGAAGAAAAACAGAGTTGTCAGTAAGACCCACCTGCAGTCAAAACCTGAGTCTTTTGTCCTTTGAGCAATTTCTGAACCCGAAGTAGCTGCAAGGAGTTCTCTCTCTTATCAAAGATGTCTTGGACCCAGTGAGATACCTCACAAACAGATTTCATAGTCTCTGAAATTATAGCAGCATACTTTGAAGTTATCACAAATGAATGCGTATTTCGCATCTTTCACATCAATGGGTATTATACATCTTGCTAAGAAAAGACAGCATTAAATTAAGAAGAAAAGTTTTAAACCAAGTATCAACAACAGCTTTATTCAGAAATTTCTGAAAGATTGGACTAGATCACCTCCAGAGGCCCCTTTCCAACTAACAATTCTGCAGTTCTTGAAAACAATTGCCAATGAAACATCAGAGAGAGGACTAATTTCCTGGATTTGGAAGCAAAAACAGGAAAATGCCCTACAAGTGGTGTTAACTGCTTGTAAAAACCACAGAATCATTTAGATGGGAAAAGACTACTGAGATAACTGAGTTAACCTAGGACTGAATACCTACTTGTCAAGTAGACATGGCACTGAGTGTCATTTCTTGAACATTTTCAGGGATGGTGACTCTACCACTTCCCTGAGCAGTCCATTCTAGTGTTTAGCAACCCCTTCCATGAAGAAATGCCTCCCAATGTTCATTCTGAACTTCCCCTAGCACAGCTTGAGGTCATTTCCTCTCCTCCTGTTGCTTGTTACCTGGGAGAAGAGGCCAATCCCCAGCTGGCCACAACCTTCTTTCAGGTACTTGTAGAGAGTGATCAGGTCACCCCTTTTCTCCAGACTAAACACCCACATCTCCCTCAGCCACACTTCATGGGACTTGTGCTCCAGACCCTTCTCCAGCTCCACTGCCCTTCTCTGGATTCACTCAAGCACCTCAGTGTCTCTCCTGCAGTGAAGGGCTCAAAGCTGGACACAGCACTTGCAGTGTGGCCTCAGCAGTGCCCAGCACAGAGGGGCAGTCACTGCCCTGGTCCTGCTGGCCACACCATTGCTGATACATTCAGGATGTCCTTGGCCCTCTTGGCCACCTGGGCACACCCTGGCTCATGTTCAGCCACTGCTGACCAGCACCCCCAGGGCCTTTCCCACTGGGCAGTTTTCCAGCCACTGTCCCAGCCTGGAGCTGCAGGGGGTTGTTGTGACCCTGGGACAGGACCCAGCACTTGGCCTGGTTGAACCTCACACAATTGGCCCTGGCCCATGGATCCAGCCTGTGCAGATCCCTCTGCAGAGCCCCCCTGCCCTCCAGCAGATCAGCACTCACACCCAGCTTGGTGCCATCTGCAAACTGGCTGAGGGTGCTCTCAATTCCCTCACCCAGATCATCAATAAAGATATTAAACAGGACTGACCCTGATACTGAGCCCTGGGAGACACCTCTAGTGACTGGATGTAGCATGAAGGTCACGAATTATCCTAGAAAATTGAAGCATGTGACCAAGAGAGTCAGAGAATGGTTTGGGTTGGAAAGGACCTTAAAGATCATCTTGTTTTTTACCCACCTGCCATGGGCAGGGACCTTCAAATACATCACATTGATCAGGACCATATCCAGCCTGGCCTTGAACTCTTCCAGGAATGGGGCATCAGCAAATTCCTTGAGCTACCTGTTCCAGTGCCTCACAAGCAGCAGAGTTTAAAAAAAACAGCTGCCATTTCTCCAAACTAAATATTAGGCCATTTTCACAGGCAGTTACTCCATATTTTTATTCCTAACATGTTATCAGGGACATCTTGATCAAGATGGAGAAGGAAAATAATAATCCACTAGAACCCCAGAGAGAGAGAGCAAGATTTTTTTTCTTTGGAGCCAGGCAGTAGGTGGGAGTCAAGATATTCTCAGCAACATCATAATAATCAATATTATCATTGATCAAAGTGCCAGCATTTACTTGCAAGTTTCTGGTACTCAGCAGTGTCTGGGCTGGTGTTCTCCAGCAGGTCTCTGAAGAAATGCTTGTACCTGAGGTGGAGAGAGCAGGTTTAATTCACAACGAGATACCAGGAACAGCAGCAGCACCTCCTGTTAGTAACAGTGCAGTGAACAACACTCAGCCAGGAGACACAGTCAGCCTAACCAGGCAGTTTTGGTCACACTTCATTCATTCATTTTATCATCAAATGTCTCAGCTAAAATAACCCAAGTATTTTGTACATCTGCAAACCTTTGGCTTTTCCTGGGGATCCAACAGAAGCAGACTCACAAATCACTTAAGATCATGAGGCTGTCTCAGAATTCACATGTTTTGTTATTGCCTTCAATTAGAACAAATTTCTTTTTGAACTATCTATTTTAATAGTATATGAATGGTAGTATTCATACCATATTTCCTGCCCACACAAGAAAATAAAGGCATTTCTATAAGAACTAGGACCTGCCTTTTTCTTTTTTCCTTTCCAGTCTTTACTGGAGAGGATAAGATCTCTACAAATGCTTTCTCCCAGTAAAGTCAAACAGAAGGAACTTAACAGATTCACAAACTGGCAGAACTCATATGACCTAGCATAAAGTCATATGCTAGGGCATATGTTAAAAGAGTTTTAAAGAAATTTGAACATGATAGAACTGATTAATGAAAAAAATGGACTTCCTGTCAAAAAGCTCACATTTTTCCAAATAGCTGGACAGCAACAAATATACTGCTGTTTTGCAAATTTAAAACAATTATCCAAAGAATTACAGTAAAAACCCACCAGTCAGTTTAACGTTTACTTCTGCTGAGATAATTAAAAACATTACATAAAGTTACATCAAAGACTGTGGTATGATCTCTCCAAGTTATTTTCAAAGAAAAGAGGTGCTCAATCTCTCACGTTTGCTTTAGTGTAGATAAGATCATGGTTGAAAAACAGCTGCTGGATCTATAGCAGCAGAATCTGGGTTCCCAGAAAAACACCATTATTACCCACACACCCTCCCCAGGAAAGGGCTGCCAATGGGTGCATGCAGCATTCTCCTCAGCCAGTCAGTCTGCCTCTTCAAAGGGGAGATGATCATAGAATATCCTGGGCTGGAAGGCATCCACAAGGATCATCAAGTCCAATTCATGCCTCTGCATTTTTAAGACAACCCTAAAAATCACACATGTCCAATGATAATGTCTAAACATTTCTTGAAGACTGAAAGGGTTGGTGCCTCAAAAGGGAGATACAGCAATCCTGAGTGGATCTGTCCAGACTCAGACAAATGTGATAGGCATCATATCTGAGGAAAGCATGTGGCCCTGATAACCAGAGAGGAAAGAGAAGCTCTCCTACATTAATCTCATTTCTCTCCAAAAAGAGCCATCTCCAATAGTCACAATGCTCCAGGTCAGCAGTCTGCATAAAAATGGAGCAAAAGCATTGCTGGCAGAGACCACCACTTCTGCAGCATTTCAGTCAGCTTGCTTTCATTCAAAGCCAAACTTCAGTAGCTTACTGAGACAGCAGAAAGCGTCCAATTCTACCCAAGAGCTAGAGGAAGGAGCCAGGGCTAAACACAACTGCCTTCCTGCATCATCTCCCATCCATGTACACTGATTCCACTTTACAGGCACATCCTTAGATCTGTTTCATTGCTGTCTCTATGCTCTGATTTTTAGACACAGTAGGCAACTTTCCCTTTCATAGCAACAAAGATAGTGATACAATCCTTTTCCCCTTCTTATGCTAATCCCTTGAAGACTCACAATTGCTTACTTACTGGTGCAGCCTCTGCAGGGGCAAAGGAAGCAGATCCTCTAGCTGCCTCCCTTGAAACTGAGGTCGAGTCTCCTGGAGTTTCTTAAATCGCCGGAATGACTTATTTTTCCTCACTTCCTCCTGTGTGCAGCAAAAAAGGGATTTAGCTTTGAAACCACAGAAAGAACTATGTGCCCTAGTCTGTACCAGAAGCTGGAACATTTCAGCTTAGAGTTTAGGACTCCAGGCCCACAAGCATCAACTTCTTTTGTGGCTATGGGCAAGCCATTCCCTTTCTCCTGATCATTCATTTCAGTGGGTAATGGAAGTGATATCTCCCCTCCATACATGAAATTAAAGAAAAAGAGAAGGTTGACCCAGTTAGGACTTGTGGCTTTTTGCCATGCCTTTCAACAAAAAGCAAGGCACATCTGCATTCCTGTCACCTTAAGACAAGTATCCAAAAAGGCTTTTCCTCTTGGAAAATGAAAAGCATGAATACATGCATGCAAAGAAGGAAACATCCTACTACATTCTGCATCTGGGAACAAGCACTGACAAAACTGGAAGTTGATCTGGTTTCCAGATACAGCTGTCACAACTTTGGAATGAATAAATAAATAAATAAATAAATAAATAAATAAATATATATAAAAATATTCTGGAGAAATTAGAAATTTCTAATTCCCTTCAAAAACAGGTTGAATTTGAAGACATAAGTGGGAGGAAGAAATGGTCTTCAACATAGAAAAAAAATGTGAAGGAAGAGGAAATCCCACTACTGGGATACAGTTGGTGGTAATGGGAAAGACTAGGAGACCTGACAATTCCTAGAAAGAGATCACTGTATCATAGTGAAAGCCTGGAAACTCTCTAGACTTGCCAGTTAGGAAGGAGTGGGAGTAAATACAGAACACTGTTTCAGAAAGCAGTGCTCACCATATGCACATACATACACAAACACCTGAAAAGGCATCAGAAATTTGAAGCTCTAAGTAGAGAAGTTTTCACCATTTTATTGTGGAAGAAAGCCAGAATTTCATCAAGCCAGAAAAAGTAAGAAAACTGATCTCTCCAGAGACAGAAAACAAATGGAAAGATGTGGCAGTTTCACAGAATGGAAAAAGAGAAACCTTATGAAGACTAAAGTACATATTTACCTTCAAGGTTTTATTTGCATGCTCCAAATTCTCAGCATAGTGGCCATAAAGATCCAGACTCTGGCAAAAATTTTCCAGTCCTGGTCCCAAATTCCCTTTTTCCAGGTGAAGTGACAGAACACTGGGCACAAGGAGAAGAGATAGCTTGTGAGGGATACATTACTGACAGCATTTTCACAGCTCCTTCTGATTCCTGCCATTGCTGACCTGCCTTTACCATTCTCCACCCCATATCCAGGTTCTACACCAAATTTATGCTTGGAGACCAGAGAGTAAGCCACAGAACACCTTGTGGAACAGGCTTACTGAGCTTAAACCACTGTCCAGTAATTGGGCAGCCAATGATGTGTGATACAGATCAGGAGTTTGATGGGGACACCTCCAAGTGCCACCAAGGCTAGCAGTGCAAGAAGTGAATGCCTGTTTTACAAGGTATTAGCCTTATTTCAACAAATCTTACTTTCTCATCAATATAGAGTCCTCCCAATATAATTACAGGAATTCCATCCTATGTCCACTTACTGGCTGGCTGAATATAAGGACTCCAGGGGTCCAAATATAGTTTCCAACACAGCTGGCTTCAGTGTCCCTTTGGCCTTTAAAATGGTCACAAAGTACTAAACAGGAAAAAAAAAAAAACAAAACATTTCAAACAGGTAGCATTCACAAATCATCATAGAATCACTCAATGGTTTGGACTGGAAAGGATCTTTAAGACCATCTAGCTCCCCCTTGGCAGAGACATCTTCCAAGCCCCATCCAAACTGGCTGCTCACTTCCAGGGATGGGGCATCCACAGCTTCTTTGGGCCATCTGTCCCAGTGCCTCACCACCCTCACAGTAAATAACTTCTCCCTAACATCTAATCTAAACCTACTGTCTTCCAGTTTCAAACCATTCCTCCTTGTCCTATCACTATGTGCCTGTGTAAAAAGTTACTCTCCCTCTTTTTTATAAGCCCCCTTCAAGTACTGGGAGGCTGCAAAGGTTATTAACTGCTGAGGTCACTCAAAGGCTACTTGCAGCACACAGCAGAAGCCAGAAGTTGCAGCCTGAACACTCTCTGGTTTGGAAAGTTACCAAATATTGTGACTGTCTACCTAAGATATGCACCATCAGATGTAAGCCTTACTTGTAGCTCTGACCACAACTGTAAACACATGGAACAGTACCACAGCACTGAAAAGAGTTTATTTTGGAATCCTCCAATGCATCTGTTTTTCACCATCTTGTTCATAAATTTTTTCTATGTCCCTACAGTTCATACATCTCAGGCATCTTAGGGCAAGCACCCTACTCAATCAAAACTTAAAGGATTTATGCCTGTGTACAGACCAAGGCCAAAAAGCCAAATCCATGAACTATTGAATATTATAGAGGAGGTAAAAGAAAAACAACAAAAAAACCCTTTCAGCCCCAGCAGATGTTCCAGGCATTAGGGAGGTACCACAGTCTTGCTCTTGACCCTTCCCCATGGCAACATGAATAAGTATGTGCTGTCTGGAGGCACCCACGTATCAGAAGGGGCAGAAATACTCACTGTGAGCACCAAATCCAGCTGCTCAAGGTATCTGTGTTCTGTTTCCAGCAGTTCCTTGGCTGTCCTGCTGCGCTTTCTCTCCCAGCGAGCCCGCTGGTCTTCCACAGTGTTTGCTCCAACCACAAATGGCAGGGATGAGGCACTCATGGCACAGTCAGGGTTCACACACAGGGAGGTAAAGGACCCTGGAGAGCCAAGCAAGATGGGCACACAACAAAAGAATAACCTATGTTGCAGGGTAGGATTCTGAGCTAAATACTCAACGCCTTCCTAGGAAATAAGGACAGTCAGTTGCCAGCAACAATTATTAACAATTTCCTTCTGCATTCCCTCATGTGGGCACAGGGGCCCTGCCTCTAACAGAGGAACACCATTAGGGAGACCAGGCTGTGAAAGCAGTAGCAGTATATGATGATTCATCTGCAAGCAAATCTCAGTGCACAATCCACATGCAAACCACTGCTTCCTGCGCCTTGCCCTCCCCATTCTTGGCTTGAAATTCTTGTTAAACTCTAGCAAGTTTGTGGGTGGAAGAGGTACTGTGGATAGGAGTAGAAAATAACGATAAGATTTGTTTTTAGGGGGCACTGTAACAGGACTTCCCCATAGCACCGCGGGGAAAGAGAAGAGAGCACTCTTTCTTGTTTTCTTAAGTTACTAAGAAGCCAGTGGTTTGCTTTGTCATTTTCTAACTGTTCTTTGTGCTCCTGGAGGTGAGAGAGGCCTGGCAACTGCTGTGAATCATGCCAGATTCGTTCTGCTCTCCTGCAACAGTATCATGATTTTGTTGCACAGAAAAACATTGTTTATCACACTCAGAGAAAGAGGCATGTTTTAGCAGAATATTGGATACTGTTATCTATTATTACTAGATATTGTTATTGTTAGATACTGTTCTTTTGATGAAAAGGCAGTGCAGACAGTTGCACACTTGCCCCAGCATCAAGTCTGCAGTTTTGCTGGAATCTGAGTTGCCTCTGAAAAGTTCTGTTTCCCACATGGACAAGATACACTAATACAGAAAGATGTGTAATCATACAGAAGGAGATTTGTCAAACACCATCTTCCAGAGACATTTCAGACACGTAAATCAATAGCTGAAACAAAAGTTTCACATCAAGTGAGTATCAAGACTCATTTAATGAGTTGCCAAAAGTCCAGAAAGCTGAGGGACTTGCACAGTGTTTTATAGTTAGCAGCAGCTCCTCCAGAGCTTGCCCTCATATTCACAGCACAACCACAAACCTAGCCAAGACCACATTTTGGTCAAACAGGGCAGACCTGGTGTGGATGGAGAGGAACAGTGCACACTGCAGTGCAGGGAACACCACCTTAAGCTTAGCCTTGGTCCAGAAGTGTTCAAGACCAGGCTGGATGGGGCCCTGAACCACCCTGTCTGTGGAAGGTCTCCTTGGGCTTTGCAGGGCTGCTGGAAGGAGATGGTTTTAAGGTCCTTTCCAACCCAAACCATTCCATGATTATATTCAAATGCAGTTGCAAAGTACTCACCAGTGAATGGACTAAAGCACTGCCATTCATAGAGCACCTCTAGCCCGGGTAGACTGCAGTCAAGGCTTTCATTTTGCAGACCAATTTCTTTTAACACGTAATAATTAAAACAAACAAGTTATACCAGGTTTGACCATCTACTGCTCACGTAAAGTTCTAACACTCCCATTATTGCACAATATATTCTGTCTGAGGTCTGCAGGGTGAGAGCTGTCTGCAGCCTGCGGGTACGCTAGCAAATACTTCACCCACAAGTGGCAGAACTACTCCAGCTTGCTTCTCCCCAGCTCACATTCAAAAACCACTGAACACCCTCTATTACTGTTAACTACCTATAGTACACCATTAGCAGCATCCCCTTCACCATTCCTAAATTTTTTGGGTACCCTCAAAAAATGTCCTGTTCTTATTGCACAGCCTCTTTGGTGTCTCAGGAGTGTAAACACACGGTGAGTCAGCTCCAAGGGACACATGGCCGCACATCCCACACTGTGAGGTCAGAGAAAGGGGAAGGGAGAAACTCTGGAGCCCACAGCCGCTCTTCAGCCACCCTGAGGACTAAAGGAGTAAATACTGCAGGAGTTAATACTGGAAGTAAAACACGCATCTAGCCTTCCTTAAATTCGCCTGTGCTGCAGGGTACTAAAAGTGTATTTTGGATCAGTCAAAACCAAGGGTACTATATTTTTTCAGCAGATGAGAAAAAAATCCATTAAAAGTCTTGTGGGATTGAATAGAAAGCTATTCTTCACCAAAACCGAAGCATTTTGCTCATTATCAGAGTTCTGTTTTGTTTTGGGGTTTTTGTTTTGTTTTGTTTTTTTGGTCTTTTTTTTAATCAAATGAAATATGTTTTAAATAAATAAATGTTTCCAGTAATAAAAAAAAAATTAAAAAACCAAACCACATGAGCACACTAAGAAAACATTTAATAAACTTCAACCAAATGTTCTTCTCTGACTGCGACATGGATTCAGGAAATACTTGGTGGAATCAGGGACTAATTTAGCCAAAGGAATTTTTATGGGTCATGCAAGTTGAGCCTTGTGCCTAAAGCGGGGCTACCACCAAAGTGAGGCTGGGCTACTCAGGGGTTCATCCTACCCAGGACCTTTCCTTGGGTGGCGATCGGGACGGGACGGGACGGGACAGAACACAACAAAAACACCGGTGGCGGTTCCGGTTATGGTTATGGTGGCGGTCCCGGTTATGGTTATGGTTATGGTTATGGTTATGGCCCCGGCCCCACGCCGCCCACGCCGTCCCCGCCGCCCGTTACCTGCCGGTCCCGCCGCCGCCCCGCGTTCAAACGGCGGCTCCGCCCCGGCGGGCGGTCCCGGGGCGGGGCGGGGCGGGGCCGGAGCGCGGCGGGGCCGGGCCGAGCCGGGCCGGGCAGGGCGGTGGCGGCGGGCAGCGATGGTGCTGCCGGGGCAGCGTGGCCCCTCGCCCGGCGCGGCCGGGGACCTGGCGGCGCTGGCCGAGCTGGACGAGGCGGCGCTGCTGGCCGGGCTGCGGGAGCGCTTCCTGCAGCAGCGCATCTGCGTGAGTGCCGGGGGCCGGGGCGGGGGGCGGCGGCGGGCGCTCGGCTGACCGGCTGTCCCGTCCCCACAGACTGACATCGGAGACATCCTGGTCGCCATGAACCCCTTCCAGCCGCTGCCGCTCTACGGGAGAGAGGTGAGCGCCGCGCCCCCCGCCGCGCCCCGCCGCCTCCCGGCCGCTCACCGCTCTCCGCCGCCGCTTCCCCGCAGGTCTCCGAGCGGTACCGGCGCCTGGAGACCGACGCGCTGCCGCCCCACATCTTCGCCGTGGCCAGCCGCGCCTACCACGCCATGCTGGGCCGCGGGGGCGGCGGACCCCGCAACCAGTGCATCCTCATCAGGTGAGCGGCGGGCGGGGGTCCCGGGGCCGGCGGGGGCCGGGGGTGGCCCCCGAGCTCTCGCTGGGGTCTCCCTGCCCAGGGTTCAGGTGAAGCTCCTCTCCGGTTCTGTTGGTGAGTGAAAATCCATCTGCGCTGGCAACACATCCTTGATCCCGACCGTTTTCGAGACAGATGAGCGGGCACGTCGTGAGAACGTGTGAGCAGACAAAACTGGCTTTCCTGGAGTAGCTCGGCCAGCAATCTTTACAACAGTAAAGATGCCGGGTTCACTTCTGGTGGGGAACCAGCCGCTGGAATCCTGCTCTGGGAAAAGCTATTGGGTGCTCTGCTCTGGCAGCACAACTTCCATGGTAAAAGCTGTAGTAAAAGTTGGAAGGATGGTAATGGAAGGAACTAGTTTTCACAAAGTGAGCTTCCCAAGTGTAAGCAAAGAGCAGGAAGTATTAAAACATGCTTTTCTCCTCTAAGACCTTTGGGAATCTGGTTGGGGAGGATCTTAAAGTCGTGGGCAGTTCTGTGCTCTAGAAGTCAGGAAAAAGTGGCTCTTTTACCCAAAGAGCCTACCAGTACCGTGAACATTTTACTCCGTTTTGTCATTCCTGTTCTGCTGGAACTCTGCAGCGCAGCAGGTAGCATCGTTTAGCCGAGAAAGCCTTAAACAACATCAACTAGCAGAGAAAGCATTGAAAAGCGAGGAGAAAGCCTTGAAACATTAACTGCTTCTTCTCTACAGCTGGGTGTTGTAGAGAACTGTTTAAATGTCCTCTCAGTTAAAATGCTACTTGCCAATTTGTTTGATTTAATGCTCCTTTGTATTTGCCTTCTTATCATTTTATCAGTACTTTCGGTCTACATGGTGTGGAAGTCAACTACTGAATCACTGCTGAGTGTTTTGGTGGGACTGGAGCTGACTTTGAGGGGCACTTGAGCCCCACTCATTTCTGTAGCCTTCAGGCCATTGGTGCCTGTGCTTTACATGAAGTACTCTCAGCAAGTGGTGGCCAGTGGGTACAAGAGGTACTGCTGGTGGGGCTTTGGGGGATAGAGACCAGTCATTGTATTTCTCTTGGGAGGTGGAAGACAAGAAAGAGTAACCTGTGAGAATTTGTGGTCAGTGGTCTGGTTGTTTTCTGCCAGCAGTTCAGAAATGAGTCTGATATACTCCTGTCCTTTTAGCTGGTCTGTGTGTTACTGTCACAGGAAGTTCATGGTTTTCCTCTCTATGGGTGCTGAAACACTAATTAACAAGTTTTCCTATCTGAGCACAGTTGGGGTGAACAGGGAAGGGAAGATGAGGTCACTGCTGTTAGACCACAGCTCCCCACAACACCACAGAAACACACCAGGATCTGCTGTCTCTGGTGGTCTCTTTGGTGTCTCCAGCTGAGTCTGGGAGGTCTGGATTGCATCCTTCAGAGGTGATGTTGGATGAAGCAGCTGCTGCCAGATCATAAGTGTTCATTGCTACAAAATTGTCTTGAGCCACAAATTCTACTGGCTCCTCTTGCCTTCCCAGTCCCAAAGGACATTAGTCATAGCCTGGATGTGGTGCAGTACAGCACCTGGGTCACCTGAAGATGACTTAGCATTTCTTCAGAGCTGGGGCAGTTACACACCAGCTGTGCTTGCAGGGCCTTGTGAAGGTGTTGTGCTTGTTGGAAGGTCTAAGGTCAAGCTTGAGCCATGGAAGTGTTGTTGGATATTTTTTTTGTGGAGAAGGGAGTTACTGAAAAATAAAAATAAACCTGACATACTGAGCAGGGGCACTGGGTGGCATGTTCTCAACGGGCAAAATGGTCCTTTTTTGTTTGTATATTTTTGGATGGTGCTGGTGTGACCTGTGCTTGAGATCAGGGACCTGCTCGAGGTTTTTAGCCACCTATGACACACACTTGATACCAAGCTCAGAGCCACTGCCAGCCACGAAGCAGTAAAGCCACACCACACGCTCAAAGGTCGGCTCAGAGGAAATGGGGACCTGCCCTCAAGTATGCCTCCAGCATTTCCTGCACTTATTTTTTTTCATGCACATGCTGAAGTTCTCAGCTGGTGTGATGTTGTCAGTTAAGGGCATGTTGTCTCAATGATTGTACATTCCCTCTCCCAGGACAGGGGAAATGCCCTTTCCAAGAGCTGGTTGTTTGACTTGGAGGCGGAGGCACCATGGATGTGTGACAGCACAGTGACGTGCACTGCTGGCACTGTGGGAGTGCGGGCAGCTCTGTACCTGCATTCCCAGCTGTCTGGCACATGGATGTGTGAACACTTGAGATCTGAGACTGCCACTGCATCTTGTGATCAATATCCAGGTGTGGGTGTGATGTAGGTAGGGCAAATCTCTCTGGAGAAAGAGGAAGTTGTTGGCTCCAGCATTTTCAAGGAAGTTGATGTACCAGATGGCTTTTGAAGCAGAGCAAATGGTCTGTCTGATACATCCCATCCAGAAGTGACAGCATGGGGTATATCTGTACTCCCTTGCAGAGGGGGGAAAAGTTCCCTGATGAAGAACCTCATGGTTCACATGTAAAGCTGTGGCACATGAGCTTTTTCTCACACAGGTGATTTTGCTGAAAAAATTGTGAAACTCTTGCAGAGCACTCTCAAGTGATGGAGCACTTGAGCCATAAGGGGCAGAGCAACTATACTTTAAGGTTGATGGAATTTATTTTGCTTTTTTTTGGCAGTGGAGAGAGTGGCGCTGGGAAAACAGAGAGTACGAAGTTGTTGTTACAGCACATAATGAACCTATGCAAAGGCAACTCACAGCTGGAGCAGCAGATACTTCAGGTGGGTCATGCAGGATGGTGCTTGAAGGTGTAGAAGAGAAGCAACACTGCTGCAAGAAAACTTGAATTAGGCTTAGGAAGCCTGCTGGTGAATCACCACTGGAAATCAGGGAGCCACACACAAGACACATAAGAAAACAGTGGATAAGAATGGTGAGATACCTGGCCACAAATTAGAAGGGTTAGTAGGTCAGTAATTCTGTTTGCTGGAGATGGTTCTTAAATTAGAGAAAACCATTGCAATCATTTATCATGTTCTCTTTTACAAGAGATTGATGGCATTTTTCTAAATAATTTCCTGTTTGAGGTAGAACAAAGTAGAACATGCCACTGTCATTAAAAAAATCAGACCTTGATTAAATGGTACAGAGGGAGGAAGAATTCATACACTCTTTAGTAACCCATGCTTGGCTACTTATACTGTCAGGCACATACCTGCTAGCTGGCTAACTGCCATGCTTGCTCTTTTCATAAGTCTTTGCTAGCTCATTTTGAAACATATTTGACTCTTTGGTCTGAAATATTTCCACTTGAATTTCTCCCCAGGGAGCTGTGAGGTTTTTTTTAAACAAATCATACTTTAAACCTTCCATGTGATAGATTAACAAGAGTGAGTTCTTGGACTGCTTCATTTTAAAGTCTGTCTTTTCAGATTTCCTGTAGAAATGTAGAGGTCTTTCTCTGTGTGGTAGGTTGACTTCAACCAGTGCCCACCAAGCCACTCTGTCACTCCCCTCCTTAAGTGGACAGGGGTAGAAAAACATAACAAAAACTCATCAGTTGAGATAAGGACTGTGAGATCACTCAGCAACTACCATCACAGACAAAACAGGCTCATCTTAGGGAAAATTAATTTAATTTCTTGCCAGTTAATGTCAGAGTAAGATGACGAGAAATGAGAACAAATCTTGAAGCACCTTCCCCAAGTCTTCCCTTCTCCCTAGGCTCAATTTGACTCCCAGGTTCTCTACCTTCTTCCCTCCAGCAGCACAGGCAGATAGGGGATGGATGTTGAGCTCAGTTCATCACAGTTTACCTGTGCTACTGTCTTCTTCCTCATGTTCTTCCCCTCCTCCAGCATGGGGTCCCTCCCACAGGAGACAGTCCTTCAGGAGCAGAGTGTTCCAGCATGGGTGCCTTGACATGATGCACTCCTTCAGGAGCAGGCTGCTCCAGTGTCAAGACTCTCCCTGGGGTTCTTCAGGAGCAGACTGCTCTGATCTGGTCCCCTCTACAGGGTACAGTCCCTCAGGAGCAGGGTGCTTCAGTGTGGGCTCCCCACAGGGTCACAAGTCCTATTTGCAAACCTGCTCCAGCACGGGCTCCTCTCCACAGGCCACAGCTCCTGGCAGGGAACCTGCTCCAGTGAGGGCTCCTCTCCACAGCTCCTGCCAGGAGCCTGCTCCAGTGAGGGGCTCTCTGCACAGGCCACAGCTCCTGCCAGGAGCCTGCTCCAGTGAGGGCTGCTCTGCACAGGCCACAGCTCCTGCCAGGAGCCTGCTCCAGTGAGGGCTGCTCTGCACAGGCCACAGCTCCTGCCAGGAGCCTGCTCCAGTGAGGGGCTGCTCTCTGCACAGGCCACAGCTCCTGCCAGGAGCCTGCTCCAGTGAGGGCTGCTCTGCACAGGCCACAGCTCCTGCCAGGAGCCTGCTCCAGTGAGGGGCTCTCTGCACAGGCCACAGCCCCTGCCAGGAGCCTGCTCCAGCACGGGCTTCCCATGGGGTCACCGCCTCCTTCAGGCACACCCACCTGCTCTGCTGTGGCTCCTCCAGGGGCTGCAGGTGGATCTCTGCTCCCCCCTGGGCCTGCAGGGCCTGCAGGGGCACAGCTGCCTCACCAAGGGCTGCACCAGGGGCTGCAGGGGAATCTCTGCTCTGGCTCCTGGAGCAGCTCCTGCCCCTCCTTCTTCACTGACCCTGTGTCTGCAGAGCTGTTCCTCTCACACATTCCCACTCCTCTCTCCCTTCTGTGTGTGTGCGGTAGTTTTTATCCCAGAGGCACTGCTGCTGTCACTGGTGGACTCGGCCTTGGCCAGTGACAGGTCTGTATGGCTCTGTTGGACATGGGGAAAGTGTCTTGCATCTCCTCACAGAAACCAGCTTTAGATCCTCCTACAACCAGTATATTGACACATAAACTCAATGCCCCGTGCTCTGCTTTGGACCCTGGAATGGTGAATTAATTCAGTGTGTTGTCATCCATGGTGGATCCAAGGTGAAGGCCTGTGCTGGGTTGTGGGAACATGGCATTAATACACCTGCTGTCTCTGCTTAGAGCTGGCTTGGGCCACACTGCCAGGCTGCTTCTGACCTGAGCAGGTTCCACAGGCAGGAGAGCTGTGTTTGCAGAGTGTCTAGAGCTAGCCTGCAGTTCCTTCCCTGGAAATAACTCACTTCAGCCCAGATGAGCTGCCCTTGGAAAGCCTAGATGTGACGGTGAAGAAATAATATGCATCTTATTTGGTTCCTCTAGATATATCCAAGGACTAAAGTTAGTCCTCCGGGGGATTGCCATCATACCTTAAAGCTGTGTTCAACAGGCTGTCCAGCATCTACTCTGAGGCATTGTTCTTGCAGTTGACAGGCATTCTTTACTCAAATATAGAAAAATTCTCATTTTGTTACCTTTGCATCCAGCTTAGCAAGCTGGTCTGATTGTTCTGTTGATTTCTTTATAATACACTGTCCTTATGTCTACAAATTTCAGTAGCTAAGCTGTCATACTTAACAACTGAGTGCCATGGTGACTTTGTTTACTGCTCTTGTATAGCACTCAATTTATCTAGTGACAGCAGGTACTGTGTGGAAATAGGTTGTACCAACCTTCTAAAAAATGACTCAATGATCTTACTGAGATCCCAGCAGTTCAATTGTACTGATCATTGTTAATCTCACACTGCTTAGTCTTTGTGATATTTGCCTCTTTGAATTTCTTTATCCAGGCAGAGATAAAACAGGTGCTCATCCATATTCATGGAGTGGTTCCTTTTCCAGCTGAACTCTGACTAGAAAATGCTAAAGATCATTTTTTCCAAGTAAGTTAGATTGGATTGCTTAATCTGAAGAATGGTTGTTCTCCTTCTTCACTTGTTTTAGGTGAATCCGTTGCTTGAAGCTTTTGGCAATGCCCAGACAGTGATGAATGACAACAGCAGCCGCTTTGGAAAATACATACAGCTGCGTTTCCAGAGAAATACAGGTAAAGTCAAGGGCCATTACTAGCCTGGGGAATGGTTAGGAACTGGAGGGAGTGGACTCAAGTAGCCAGAACTTGTGGAGGGTAAAATTTTGGCACATGCCTACCTGTGGGAAGGGTGTGCAATTAAGTAAAATCTCACAGCAACCACTGTTGGATAGGACCTGGATAGGATTAGGCCTGGATTTGGACAGACTGGGAGTACAGCAAGGATATGGGGGTGAGAGTGCAGGGTAAGTGTCAGTAATACTCTGATGCCAGAAGCCTTTGTTTCTGCTGAAAGAGGTGAACAGAAATCTCTAAGACCACAGGAAGCATGGAGAAGCCCACTTCCAGTGTACTGGGCAGCCTAGAGGGTCTTACACACAAGAAAGTTAATTTAGTCAATTCTGTGCTCCTGGTACAGAAGAGATGTGAGACAGCTCAGGCAGCTTCATGTCCCCCAGAGTGAAGTTCCCCACCCTGTCACCTTTTTGTGTGCAGTGCAAGGTGCCAAGCTGAGTGAGTACCTGTTAGAGAAGTCACGGGTGGTACGACAAGATACTGGGGAGAGGAATTTCCACATCTTCTACTACATGTTTGCTGGACTGTCTGCAGAGCAGAAGGAGATGTATGGGTTATTGGATCCTTCACTCTACAGGTGCGTCAAAGGCAGACCCTAGTTTAGTCTTTGTGGTGGGTGGTGAAGGGGAAAACAGCATAATGGAGTTTCTTCCTCTGCCCTGGGGTTTTATCTGTGGGTGAGTGGAAGCTGGAGCGGGATCTGGATGGCGCTATGTGAAGAGATACAGATCATCGTGGAAGCTGGGAGGTCAGGGGTATCTGCTGCACTACCTTGGAAAAGTTTCTTTCCCCTTCTGGTGATCTACTTTGTACCCATTAGGGATGGCTGAGTTACAGTGCCGATTGTGTGACAGTTTTTATGGGATGTGCACTTTCTCAGGTACATAAGTGGACGATTTGGTACACAGGAAGTAGCTGAACACTGGAAGCACAAATACCAAGAGGTTTGCAATGCCCTTGACATGGTGGGCTTCCAAGAACAGGTTAGTCCTGGGGCTGTTTCATTTCCATCTGTGCTTCCTGCAGGCACAGGGTTTCTTTGTAGCTCCTCTCTTGAAGCTCAGACCTATTTCTTTCTCTAGATTTTCCATGTTACTTTCAGATCACCTGAGTCCGACAGACTTTGTGGAGAGCTTTTTCCCACAGGTTGCCTGTGCCTCTTCCCTTAACCTCTCCAACTTCTAGGTCATCTGTGTTGTACATGCTACATGCTGGTGGGTTTTTCAGTCTCCTTTCTTTTGTGTTTTAGGAGCAAGTGGACATGCAGGCTATCTTGGCTGGTGTGTTGTCTCTGGGCAATGTGACCTTTGAGCCTGAGGAGAGCAATGGGTCTTTGAAGGTCAGTGAGGCCTCCCAGGGATGGCTGAAGGCTGCAGCGGTGAGTCACAAGAAATTTTGACAAAACCTTATGGGTATTATGCTCTTCCCTACTGGCTGTGTGACTGCAGGAGATGTTCCTGGCAGAGGATATTTTCTGCCTCAGAATGTGAAAGTTTCTAAAGAACAAGGGTTTTTTTGGAAATGTACAGTTTGACCCCATGACAGCATCTGTGTTCACTGCTATTCATACCCAGAGAGATGCGTCTCAGCTTCTGTTTCTTGTCTTACATAGTCAGCATATACCTTGCTGACTTCATAAAACACAAGCTTTTTAAAACTAAATGTTTTATGTTAGTGAGTTTGATGATGCCTTGGAGAAATTCAGGTGTGCAATATCTGCACATTAGTTCTGTGTTTTCATCAGATTTTGTCCAAGGATACCACCCTACATGCTATCATTTTTTTTTGGTTATCTTGAATTAAGCTTTTTTTTTTTTAACCATTTTTGTTGGTTATCTTGAATTAAGCTTTCTGTTATTTTGCATTAGGTTATCACAGATTAAGAACTATGTATTTCCCAGGACCATTCCATTTTTGTTCTATGGGATGGAGAAGTTATCCTGCTTTGTTAACAACACAGGACAGAAAAAAGTAACATCCTTCTCCCCTTTCTATTTCTTTTCATTTTGACCTGTTTGAAATCCCAGCACCCTTGCTCTTTGGTTTCACTACCTACACCATACTTCACTACCTTTGCTTGTTTCCCTCCTACACCATACCAGAAACAACCACCTACTTCTGTTCAGCAGCCAACTTCTTTTTATCTTATTTCTGAAAGCCTGCTCCTCATTTCTTGCCCACAGGAGGGGAATTCCTGTTAAACCTCTGAGAGGTTCTGTGTGTCTGAGTTTGCTTTGTTTCCTGCCTCTTGTGTCGGTTCCTGTGACTCTGAAGCTCAGATGCTTCAGCACCTGCACAGTCACCTCCGTGTGGTGCTGTTCCATAAGTCATTAAACCGCTCAGCAGGGACTGGCGTGGCTCCCAAAGAAGGTGAAAGGTGGCAGCACTGGAAGAGCAAAACAAAAAGTGTTTGGGAGCAGGTGTGTGAAGCTGGTCACTGCGGGGGTGGAGCAGATCAGAGCCCACATCTGACTCTGGTGCCAGCAGTAGCACTCATCTTACAGTGGGGCTCAAAGGCCTGAGCCTGAATCATGACCCCATTACACACAGATAGACACAATCCCCATGAGCAGAGTAAGGGTTTATGACTGACTGTCCTCGTCTCTTTCCTGTTTCCCAGGGTCAGTTTGGAGTCCAGGAAGATGAGCTGTTAAAATGCCTGATTTGTACAACATCAGTGACCCGAGGCGAGCAGATCCAGCGCTTTCACACCCAGCAGCAGGCAGAAGGTAGGAAACATGATGAATTGCAGATGTGCTGGCTAGAAAGACTGGATTTTGATGGAAGGGTATCCCCACACATGTGCAGCTTGTTGGGAACAAAGATGTCCTTCTGTGCCCCTTCATTCCTCTCACACAGAGGGAAGTATGTCAGTGTTTATCTGTTTAGTCGCTTACTGACATGGAGGGCCATGAATGCTGCTTTTGTTTGGTCTCCAGGAGACTGCAGAGATTAAATGAGAAACCAAGGAATTAGCTTTGCTTTCTGCTTCAGTCCAGCCCAGAAAGAAACTCCGGGTATTTGTGGAAAACAGGGGAAGGCTCCTGTTGCAGAGTGCTGGCAGTGTGCAGAGCTCTAGGTAATAAATGGAGAAACAACCACAAGAGCAACAAGATGTCACAGTGTCAGAAATTGAGTGAAAAAAGTAAAATAGCAGACACAAGGTGTTATTTTCCCTTTCAACAAAACAAGAAAATAATCTAAAAAAATCTGTAGCAAAAGGTTCATTTAAAAGATAATTAAAAAGAGAGATTATTGCTTCAAATAAATGAAAGAAGAAAATGAAATGGGATTAGCTAGTTCTGTTTTACAAATTTCTCTAAACAATAAAATATACATCTCTAATCATAAATCATGTTAATTTGATCTCCTTCTTAGAATGTCAGCAAGCTTTGCATCATGTCCTTTTCTTGACTACGGCATTTAAACACCTAGCAACTATGGATTAGGAGGAAGAGAACCATCCAATTTTCCAAGTAAAATTTGGAGCTTTTCCCTTGGTTTAGCAGTGGGGGGATCCATACTTAGTGTATCTTCAGAGGGGAAAGCAATTCTCTGGATATTCAAAGTGGCATGACTCAAAAATGCCCTGGTAGGCATGGCTGATCTTGTAGAAAGATTGTGAAGATTTTGAAATTAAAGAGCTGTTTTTACAGCTCCCACTTGCAAAGGATGCAGACAGTCCAATGTTTATCTGGTCTTTAAAGTAGCTTCATATAGCCATTGTTGCTAGAGGTGGATGTATTGAGCCAGCCTGTGTTGTGTGCCCCTGCTCTCCTGCAAAGCCCGTCAGTGAGCTGCTGCTGTTCCTCTGTGCAGATGCTCGGGACTCCATTGCAAAGGTGGCCTATGGCCGAGTGTTTGGCTGGATTGTTTGCAAGATCAATGAGCTGCTGGCTGAGAATGTGGATCCTGACGTGGAGCTGAGGGAGATAGGTGAGTTCTGCCTGCCTTGCTCCTGTTCTGTTCTCAAATGTGCATCCCTCAGCCACAACGAAGGACAAGGCACAGCATGAGGTTTCACAGAGCTTGTGTGCTGGGATGCATTATCAGAACGGTGATCATGCCAGAGATAAGAGTCAGCAGTATGAAGTCTGTAGGGCTTTGTTCAGCTCTGAGCAGTCAGTTGGTCTGAAGTAACTGTGAGGCTGGGGCACTCTGGCTTAGCAGAGAAGCCAAGCAGGAGGAGGTCTTCTCTTAACTAACTCTTCAAGCTGTGGAAGAGCTGCCACTGGTGTCTCTCTTGGGTGCATTTTCTCTGTGCCACAAGAGCTGTGTGAAAAGAGATTTAATTGTGTGTTGGTGTACACAGTAATCTGCAGGGATGGTCTGCAGGCTCCACTATGTGCTATTCTTCCCTTTTTTTAGGCATCTTGGATATTTTTGGGTTTGAAAACTTTGCAGTGAATCGTTTTGAACAGCTTTGCATAAACTTGGCCAATGAGCAGCTGCAGCATTTCTTCAACCATGTAAGTCTGCTGGGGGTGACCTCACCTTGTGTTGCAGGGAAAGCAGAACACTGCTCCACCTGGCACATGCAGGAGAGCTTGGGGAAAAACATATCTATTGCCTGTAAGGACAGAAATAGTGAATAGTGAGACAAGATAGAGAGCAGCATTCTTCCCTGCTGGGGTAAGGGAGCCACTGGGACAGGAAAGGAAGATCAGAAGGATCAAGCAGTAATCAAAGTTGTAATAGCAGGGACACTTACACTCTGACAAGTGTTCCTGCTTTATGCACCAGCACCAGTGAGTGCCAGGGTTACAGAGAGCCATGGAGAGCAGCAGCCACATCTTGAACCTCTCATGCTGTGGCTGAGAGTGCCACACCCCCATCCTCTTTTCTGGGCAGGAAGGAAGATGTTCAGGGTTTGTCTAACCAAGTCTAGTGGGTGCTTCAACCTCTTTTTTCTTTATTTCAGCACATTTTCCAGCTGGAGCAGGCTGCATATAAGGAAGAAGGACTGCCTTGGGAGACCATCACATTCAACAATAATGAACCTATTCTGGTGAGTGAGAGGACTGACAGAATATAATTGGTCCATCCAGCCAAGAGAAAAGTCTTGCTCTTTCTACCGCGGGGAGGAGATGCACCTGGGGAGAACCTCTGCAAAGGGTGGTGAGGGTGAGAGGGGATGTCCTGCTCTGCTTTATGTATTTGCCATGCATCTTCTTTCCTTCAGAATTTGCTCCTGGCCAAGCCACTTGGGCTGCTGTCTCTTCTGGATGAGCAGAGTGCATTCCCTCAGGTATGCATGAGACAAGAGGCAAGGAAAATATTCTGGGGGCTAATATATCAATGTATATCTGAGCTACAAAGAAAGCTCTTGGGCTGGAGTGCAGGATGAACAGAGATGTCCCCATGTGTGACTTATGAGACAGGACATCCTGATCAGAGGCAGTCTAGTGGCATTTGGATCCCTGAGAAGAGTCGGAGAGAAGGTACAGCAGAAGACTACTGCACAGCCAAGGATGCTTCCAACATTTTGTTTTGTTTCTGTGTGTCCTCATCAGGCTTCTGTTGCAGCTTATGAAATCTGCTCTCTTGCAGGCAACTGATAAGACATTTGTGGATAAACTAAACAGCAGCTTTAAGGGGAATTTACACTTCCAGCCAGCCCGAGGCCGTGTTTTGGGCTTCAGCATCATTCACTATGCTGGGAAAGTATGTACTGTTTGCAGGAAGAATGCTGTTGGACTGTATGTTGGAGGGGGTGGGAGTGTTGCCTGACAAATAAGGCTTTGATGTTAAGGAATGTGTGGTCTGAGGATGACACTAACAGAAGTGATGTGTTCCAGTGGATTGCATCCTAGAATTCGCTGGGATTTATGTAAAAATTACCCTCAGGAAAGTGGTGCTACCTCTTAGAAGTGTAGCATTATTTACATGAATCTGCTATTCTTCAAATCACCATTCTATTAGGATTCTAGTCATAAAGTAGTACTTTATAAATTAAAGTACTGTGTCCACTGTGCAGCACCAAAGGACAGGCTAAAGGCTTTTTCTTTACCTAATGGGTTCCAGAACACAGCAGTGACTATTTTTTTGCAAACGCCTAGGAGCACTGTGTAAACAGCAGGGTAATTAATGTTTTGAAAGTGAAGGTAGTTATTTACCCATTCATTGGTATCTAAGCAGCTTGAGATTCAGCATTATTGCATGTAACTTTACTGCCACCAGTATTGAAAGCATTGGTCCACATTAAATTGAATTGATTTGAGATAATTTTTGGAACAGGAGCAGATATGACAATTCAGGTCATTGTAACTTGCAGTTTAGTAATCTAATCTCAGCATTGTTGACTAAGTTATTATTTGTGGCATTCATTATTACAAAAATTAACATTTAACATGTAAAAGGTGGATGTCTTGGTGTTATGCTGCATTCCTGTGGTTCTGATGCCTCTGGCATGTGCATGGTTTGGTTCCTCAGGGCTGGCATCTGAATGGGGTGCATGTGTCTTTGAAGAATTCATGTGCAGGGCAGAGTACATTCAGTTTAACTCATGGTCAGCTCCCAGCAGGCTGTAGAAGTGGCTTTTGCAGCCAGCCTGTGTGCCCTGCTGTCCTCAGTGACCTGCTGCCCTTTCCCCAGGTACAATATGCTGCCAGGGGCTTTCTAGAGAAGAACAGAGACACCGTGCCAGCCAGCGTCCGTGGGCTCTTCATCAACAGTGTCACCCCCTTGCTCAGTGTGCTGTTCACAGGCAAGTCCTCTGCACATCCAGCATGAGCCAGGGCCCACCTTGGCAAGAGTTAAGTGTGGGCATGAGGCTCGTGTGTTTCACAGCTGGCAGCACCAGGGGGACTCTGGGAATGCTGCAGCCTGCAGTGGAGCTGTCAGAGCAACATGTTTATTCCCTGCCATAGAAAGCAAGGCAGGGGTATCCCCTTCCAGAGAATTAGGTACCCCTCAGATGCTTTCCCATCTTCTCCAAGGCCAGTGCAGGACTGTCTTCACTGGTCCTTTCTACACACTCTGTTCTTGTCTAGAGATGAAGCTGGTCAAGATCATAGATTCTAAAAATGGAGCTTCACAAATTGTTAAAAAAACTCTTAGGTCATACCACTATGCTCCCCTTTTCCAGTTATCAATAAGCATTCAGATTCTCCAAGGCTTCTAATTAAATTAAAAATTTACAGAAAGGTCAGGTGGATACTTCCTTGGAAATTGGCTGGCTGAACACTGTGCTTCTGGTATAGAAATTTTGTATTTTTTTGGTCCCATTCAGTCCATGCCACTTTCTGGGATTTACAAGAAACTAATGAATTTAATTTCTAGTCTCCACTGTGTTTTTCAGCTACTGCTCAGGACTATCTTTCTTACCGTGTTCTCACTTATTGAAGCTACTTAGCCTAGTCCCAACTCTTTCAAAGTTCGTAAACACCAGATACAACCTGTTCTCAGTTTGGCTGTCCAGTCTGAGCAATGGCTTTGGGTGCTGAGCAAAGGGTCTGGTCCAGATGACCTCCAGAAGACACTACTGACCTCATTCTGGGATTTTATGATTCTCATGATGCCATTACATCAAGGGTGCACAAGACTCTTACTAGATCCTTTAGTAAATTAAAGTCCCCTGGTTTTCTCATCCTGTCACTGAATTAGTTATAAGCTATCTGATATATAACCTCCTGATAATCTATGATTATCTGATAAATAACCTCCTGAGTGCTGTAGGTGAGCTCCCCATTTGCTGCCTGTGCCATTTTTTCTGCACTGTTAGATGCCCATTGATGATAATTCTACTGAAAGTCATTTAGGTTTATTTAATAACCTGATGGTCTTATCTTCTCAACGGCAGAAATTAGTAATGACTGCCTTATGTGCTTCCTACAGTAGTTCCATGTGTGAAACTGAACATCCTATGATTCAGTATTTGTAAGGAGGTTTGTGTGTGAAGTGAGGTTTGAATGTTTAGCCCTAGTGCATTGCAACGGTACAAAATCAACTAATTGTCTCTGTTCTTCCAGCCACTGTCTCCAGGACAGGGACCCTGATGCCTCATGTGAAAGCCAAGGTATTGCACTTCAGGTCCATATCACAACTGATAAATGTTACCTGATAATTACTATTTGAGAAACTGTCTGAAAAAGGGCAGACAGTAATTGGCTTAAAATAAGAGCAGACAGCAATCAGCTTGTAACAGTTTCTCCTTTGGTTTTTACCATGTTTTGTGCTTGCTTCTCCCATTTATATGTTTAGCTTGTCTTCCCTCCCGTTACATCCATTCTCCCTCCTTTTTTGCCATCTGCTTTCCAGCAGTGCTCTTTGGCTGTCAATCAAGCACTTCTTTCTGGGGCTGATCCTTTGTTTTGGTCTGGTTTCAGGTGGTGCCAGGAGCAGATGACAAGTTCAACAGCACACGGAAGCAGTCTGCTGGAGCTCAGTTCCGGGTACGCTACTGCTGCCCTGAGGTGCCCTGTGAGATGAAAGCAGTGATAATTTTATCACTGCAAGTATCACTGCACTGCTTACAGAGTGCTAAGCATGGTCAAAGCAGACATTATGTAGACAGGGGTTTTCCTGATGGCCAGGCAGGGCTGATCGTGGTGGGATGGGCCCAGTTGTTGGCAGAACCCAGGAAGTTGCTGCAGGGTGAGAAAACTGTCCTTGCTGAAGGGTATTGTACATGTGGCAGTGCTTTGGCTTGATGGATTGTTCATCTTCCTCTGCCCTTGCCAGCATTCCCTGATGGTGCTCATGGAGAGGATGTATTCTGCTAACCCACACTTTGTGCGCTGCATAAAGCCCAACAGCCAGAAGGAGCCAGGTGTGCTGGACAACCAGGTGGTGCTGCTGCAGGTGAGTAAAAACAGTGTCCTTTACAGGGATTTCTGCCACATCTCAGTGGGAGGGCAGATTCCTCCAAAAGGCTGTGAAAGGTGGCTCAGTCGAGTCTCCCCTTGCAAGAGAAAGAGTGGCCACACTATGTATGTGTAAAGGTTCTGAGTACTTGGTTGTTTATGTGACGCAGTCTGCTAGTCTCCAGATTTTGCAGTCTTAGATCTCTCTCATTTCTTTTTCATGAATGCAATGAGATCTGCTTGTCAGGTGCTAGGATTCATCTTTGTATCTCCCCCTGGATGGGACTGGTACAGACAGTACTCTGGAAAAATTGCTTCCCAGAGGAGACTCTTCTCACCCATCAGCCAGGGCAACTCTGAATAGAAACCAAGATGGGATTGCTTTGATAGGATCTGAAATGCACTGATATGATTTTAGTTGGATATTCTGTCAGGTCTGAGGTATAGATGCCTTAAAGAATACTGAAAATGATTAGAAGAGTTCAGAAAGCTCAGCATCCTCTTTAATGTATATAAGAAAGGATAGGATTAAGAGGAAGTTCATCCATGCCTCAGAGTACTTCTGTGTCCAGATTTGGAAATATGAAGCTATCCTCTAAGGGACAGAAGCAAAGCAGTACCCATGGCTGGAAGGTGAAGTTATTTCAGTCATTGGTTTTTATGGTTTCCAACTTCTAACTCAGAGTGGTTAATCATCAGAGTTACAGGATGAGGTAATTTCAGTTCTTAACCAAAAAAACATTTTCAGAAAAAAACTTTTTCATTTTGAACTGGGGAAGTTTAGGGCTGAATGAAGTAATTTCTGCCTGCAAAGGAGCAGAACTGGTGTCGTAATGACCTGTTTCTCTTTGTTTCTCTGATCCTCTTTATGGTGCTGCTTCAGCTGCGGTACAATGGGCTGCTGGAGACAATCCGTATCCGAAGAGATGGTTTTTCCTGGAGACCCTCCTTTGAGGAATTTGCTGAAAGGTCTTTTAAAACCTCTGAATATTCCTTGTTAGATATTATTTGGGAAATTACCCTGATAACCAGATATGGGCAATGAGTGAAAGAGTTTCTTCAAAGTTCATGTGGTCTGAGGTCATGGGGTTATTTGCTGTGGAGGCTGAGTGGGAAAGATAGTGATTTGTTGTTGTTTGCTGTCAGGGTGATAGGGATCAGCTCAGCCCATCAAGGATGTGGCTTTTATGTGTTTGTATTCGTTTGTTTTCCACAGATATGGAATTCTTCTGGTTAAACCCGGTGTCCCCCTCACAAAAGAAAGGTAGGGACATTAACTTTGTTGTGTGCAGTCTGGTTTGGTTTTCAGAGGCTTTTACTTGGAGTAGCGTAGGAAACTGAGTAAAAGGGACAGAAAAAGGAGGATGGGATTTTGTGGTGATAGGGAACATGGATCCCAGGCAAGGACATTTAATGTTTAAAAAGCATTTGATACCATGATTAATTAAATCTTTCTTGAATTGTTATGTAGCAATTAAATTAAATTGTTGTAAAGTGTTGTTGTGCTGTGAAATGAAAACTGACCCATGTATTTAATTTGGGAATGACAGTAGTGATCAAAGGTGTCCACTGAACTCAGCATGTCAGGCACTCAAGTACTGCTGTCAGGGTCCTCTCCACGCTTTTTCCTGATGGCCACATGGGACAAGAAGATACAGACAATGCTGAACAGGCAGCCAGCACTGAACGTCTCCCAGGCTAGAGAAGATGTTTCTAAACCAAGAATTTTGTCTCTATACAGGCAAAATGTGCCATCAGCACTTTTAGAACCTGATTGTTACACACATAAACATCCTTCCAGCTCTGCAGAGGAACAGGATTTTACCCTGCCAGTGTTTTCCTTCCTACATCTAGGGCAGCAGTTCCCCACCTCCTCTTCTCCACTTTCCCAGCCTCTCCTTCCTGCCAGTGTCAACTGTGATTGATAGTGAGAATGAATCATGTAAAGAAGCCAGCCGAGGGGTTTTTTTAAGTCATTTAAGAAAAGGGTTTGAATGATCTCCTGGAACAATTCTCTCCTGGCAGTAGCTCCTCCTGCCTTCACAGTGCTTCCTTGAACTTCCTGATGCTTCTGAATAGAAAGAATTTCAAACCCAACTGAGGTCACAAGAGAATCTCATAGATGGGGAGAGATTATTGTAAACAGGCAGTGTGGTGTGTTTAGAGGTACAAAAATCACGGGATGCATTTCAGAAAGAAAATTCTGTGGATGTGGATTGTGGCACTGTGGAAGTTGGCCGAGATAGAAGGAAAAACACTTCTGCTTTACTGTGTGAGATATTAGCAAAAAGTGCCACTATGATTTCACAGCCTGGATTAGCAGGAGAGAGAGGAAGCTGTCTGTGTGTTGCAGCTAGAGCTGCTTTCAGTTCCAAGTATCGGGGAATCTTTCCGAGTGACCCAAATTTTATCACTGGAGTCTGCAAAATGAAACTGGAATTGGAAAACAGACTTTCTCCCAGAAGTCTTGCTGTGCTGACCTTGCAACTTCTGTCCTCCAAAGGGCTTGGAAACAGAATGAGGAAAAACACTTCAGAGAATAAAATAGGCTCTACAGAATTGCCTCCCAGGGAGCTGAAGTAAATCTGCCTCTGGGAGCCCCTTTGCGGATGTTCTTCCCAAATGTGATCCTAGCTGTACCCCAAGGTGCATTACAGACTGACAGCCAGTTTACTGACTGTTGGGAATTGCTGAGGCACTTTATGTCCCTTTATGAAGTCCGTTTATGAAACTAAAAAAATTGTTGTTCGCTTTGGGTGGAAAATTATTTATTTCACTTTTTCATCTCTTTCAGCTGCTTGGAGATACTGCAAAGTACAGAGCTGAAAGGCTGGATTTGTGGGTAGGTGTGGATCACTGCTGTTGGGAATGGGAAGCCTAATATTTTACATGTGTAAACTGTCACCTGGTTCTCTTTAGGGAGAATTCTGTGGTTGTAGGAATGGGCTCTTCAAAGGATGATGGATAAAAGTTGAGACAGTGTTTCTTACTGCATCCTTCTCTTCCAACTTCACAGAAAGTCTCGACTTTTCTTTAAATATTGGCATCAGGAACAGCTGGCAAAGTATGTGGAGCGACTGGAAAGAGCAGCAGTTATCATACAGAAAGGTGAGCACTGGGACAGGAGCTGATCTCAGACCAGGGAAGGAAAACCTTTTCTGCAGTCCCTGCTCTACCTTTGCAGAGGACAGAAGGGTAGGGCAGGTGCCATCTCTGTGTCAAGGCCCTGTCAAGTCAAAGTGCTTCTTGCAAATGCCTGTATTCCCAGTGCTCATCCTGAATCAGGGAGAGCCCTCAGTGTCAGCCTTGGAAAGGGAAAATGTGTGCAGAAGAGCTGGGCTGAGCAAGGCAGGCACATGATTTGGCTGCGTCCTGAAATCTGGCTCACTGTCCTCTGGAGTAAGGATTGTTTGTGAGTTGTGTTGAACTGGGGAGAGGGAAATGAGTGAAGCAGATCTCATTGCTGTTTTCAGAGACAGGCGAAAGGGGGTGAAAGGCTGCCCAAAAACCAAACTGGTTTGGTTTTTTCTTTCCTTTCCATGTAGCATCTGCTCTAGCAGCCAGTCTCTTCAGAGTGGCTGTGGGCAGATTGGTACTTCCCTACATGAGGACTGTGCAGCCAGGGGGAGGAGGAGGAGGAGGAAGCTGCTGTCACCCTGCTTAGCTCCCCTCTGTTGCACTTCTCTTCTATATGGGTTGTTGCACTGCTGGAGCATCTGAGCAACTTCCAGCTGTGCACCAAAGAGTGTGACAAACATCAGATGGTCACAAGCTGTGCGCTGTTGTCATCTATGGGGAGGGTGTGTGGGTAGTGGGAAAGGAGAGGGTGCAGCTTTCTTAAAAAACACTTCATGTGTTTTAATAACTGGTAGAGTAGGTGGGATCACACAATGTCTCCAATCCTCCTGGTGAGCCCTGCAAATGGCTGCTTATGGGAAAGGTTTTCCTGTGGGCTGGCATCAAGGAAATCCTGTCTCCTTCATGGTGTCTAGAAGGACAGAGATGGATGGTTAACAGGCCCTTCTGTGAGGCTTTGTTTTTAGGTATTCAGTGCCCTGGCATTAGAGATGAGAGCTTAGATCTGTAATTTGATTTCTATAAATCTGTGATCTGGCAGCTTAGAGAGTAGAAGACAGTTTTCACAGGGTTTTGGCTGCCTGCTCACAGTAGAGTTTCCATTGCTCTTTATTAACATGATTCAGGTGTTGAGGGTTTTGTACTGGATGAAGGACTATCACCCAGTGTTCTTTCCCAAGAGAATGACAAAGGCATGAACAGCATCTTTTTTCTAACCACAGCTTTTTTTCTTAACAGTTTTCAGGGGATTCAGATGCAAGAAGAGTTTCCTAAAGCTGTTGGCTGACCTGAGAGCTCAAGCACAGCGGCTACAGGAGGAGGCAGAGAGAGAAAGAATCCGGCAGCTGGCACTGGCAGCAGAGGCCCAGGGTGAGTTGTTCCCACTCTCAGTGACCCAGAGCGTGTCCACTGGTGTGGTGATCACCTTGAAGTGCTGTGAGCTCCAGGTCATGATGGCCTGCCCTGGGATGGGAATTCCATCAGTGTGGTGGGCAGGGAGCTTATGATGTTTTTGCTCTTTGGAAGTGTGGCATTGTCAGTGGGGAGCAGAAGAAACATAATCAAGGTAATTTGCCTGGCTGTGCTGGAAGGAGGGCCAGGCTGTGGAGAGAGGCTGTGCCACATAATCCATGCAGCAGAGCCTATCCCGGTCCTAGGCCTGTGGAGAATAGATCTTATGGATCTTGGGATGCTTAAGTTCACCTACTTATTACTTCTTGTTGCAGAAAGAAACTCCCTTCCAGTCCCCATGCCACGAAAGAGGCGCCCTCAGTCTAGTGCTCATCCTTCTGATCAGTCACAGCAGCCACCAGTGCCACGGCCACGCAGCAAACTGACAGAGGTAGCAATACTGGCTCTGCTGGGGGCCCTGACCCAGGTGTGCTGGTTCCCTGCTCCATCCACCTTCTGCATGCACATGTCCTCCTGTGTGCAGCCCCAAGAGAATGTTGTCATTCTTGTCATGAGAAGTGTGAGTCCTACTGTGGTTAGATAAAAAGCATGGTCAGGACCTCTGAGGAACTGAAAGCAACTTTCAGTAGTTGGTGACAGATCTTCTCTTAAGGGACTCAGGAGTTGGGTCACCTGCTGAAGTGATCTCTTCAAATGTCCCCTGCCTTTGACTTTGCTTTTGTCCTGACTTTCCCTCTCTCCTTGCTTTCAGTCCACTCCTTTTGATAACTTCTTGAACCCTTCTGTGCCTCCTCCTGTTCTGGGAAGTGAGGAACAGACTGGGGAAGAAGCAAAAATGAGAAAACTCAAGAGAGGAGCAACTCTCCGCTGGTTCACAGAGACACAGGCCCAGAAGGTCATGCAGGATGATGGGGCCTTTCCAAGCTGGCTGCAGGGCATGATCAGTCGGAGGTGAGTCCTCTGGACACAGTGACCACAGGTGGAAATCAATGTGTCCTTAGGACTGTGTAGGTTGGATTGGCCAGGAAAGAAGTGGAATGGAAATGGGAGTGACCAGCATAACTTTTCCCTTTTAATCTGTGAGCATCAAACCCTTACAGGAAAGCTTGGGAGTCCCTGCCACAGGTTGTAAAAGCTGAAACTTTATGTAGGTCCATGGAAAGACCATGGAAACTCATAGTACATAAGTCCACTGGGTCCCTAAATACAGATCCTGTGTAGGGATGGGAGGCTTGTAAAGTAATCAGAGGAAATATACACATGCTGAATTTTCTCTGTTCTGGACCATTTGCAGAGACATGAAGATGAACTTTCGGGTTGATTCATTATGACTGTTCTTCATATTTCAGTAGAGGTTAGGAGAAGACCCCAATTTACAGCAGGAGAATATAGAATTCAGCTTACTTTTATTTTAAAGAGTATTAAGAGGGGCTTTAGGGAGTAGCCAATGGCAAAACTCCACCAAAGCCCTCTGATACAGGCAGAGGAAGGGTTTTTGTTGATACATCTGTCTGTCTAAGGAGATGCAGCCTAGGTGGCATTTGCTTCTAGTTAGTCTGGGAGAGATGTCCGCTAAGCCCTTCTTTCTTATGGATCTGTTTGCAAGACTTTGTTTAAATGCTTGAACTTTTTAAATGCCTCACACTTTTCTCTCTTGGCTGAGTCAAGCACTCTCAGAGAGGTGCTGATTATGCCAGTGCTCAGACAGGAGCAGGATGGCATTACCATCTCACCAGTGTGCAAATTGATCTGTGGTGCTCCACACTTGTTAACTGCCAATATCCTGTAATTGGTGGGATTCCTTTGTCAATGTTGCTGCCATCTGAACACCCTCGTCATCTTGTTTCTTTTTTTTTTTTCTGTTGAAACTGCAATTCTACTTCTAGATCTACGTTCTTGGATTTTTTCAGATTTTTCCTTTTTTGTTCTTGGATTTTTTTTCTTTGTTCTTGGATTTTTTTTTTTGTCTCTGTTTACTCAGAGACATTACACAGCACATTAGCTTGGTAAAGGACACTACACTAGCTCACAGCTCTCTGGTAACTGCATTTCTTTTAATTTTTTTACAATCGTTATTGATGCCCTAACCTGTAATAATTCTTTTATCCACAGATGAAATAATGTAGGAGAGGATTTAGTGTCTGGAAGACAAAACAGTCTAAATTCAAGTATAGACTAGCCATGAGCACTGCACAGTGAAGAATGTGGCAGATCCTTCCCAAAGACAGTGGTGCTTAAGCAGAGACTTAAGTTTTCACACAGCAGTGTAAGCTCAGCCTCATGAAATGGAGCAGCCAGAGCAGCCCCAAATTGCCCTGGTGATTTACAGTCACCTTTAGCCTGGAGCAAAGCACAAAGCAGAGCTTTGTCTGTTGGGCAGAGGAGGGGAAGACCTCCTTCCAGCAGGAAGTTTAGAAAGCCAGAGTGGTGTAGTCCAAGCTGGTGTTTTTCCAAGGTGCTGGGTTTACCCAGTACCCCACAGCATCCTGACTTCTTCATCCCTGGACCATAGGAAGTGCACACATGCACAGATTCCTCATCTCAGTGGTGCTTTGTGACATGCATGGTGCTGGAAGGCAGCTGTTGCTATTGCACAATTAAACCTGCTGGAGCAGGTTTGGAGCAGCCCTGCTTGGAGAGGCTTTGGCTGAGAGCATGGTGCTTCCTCAGCCTGTTAGTGCCTCCTGCACCACCAATCTGGGTCATGAGACCTGTTCTGTAGCCAGGAGCACATGGGGCAGATGCTGGGCTCCCTGGGACACTGCTGGGCTAGGACATGAGATAGGATGTGAATCCCAGCAGTGTGGCAAGGCAGCTGCTGGCTCTTTGCTGAAAAACTCTTTCCTGGTTCCAGGGAAGCTGAAAACTTGCTGATTGACAAGCCTTTGGGTTGCTTCCTTGTTCGGATCAGCCAGAGCCGGCCAGGCTACATCCTGACATACCGGTAGGTGATGGGCAGGGGAGGCTCAGGGGAGACATTATTGCTCTCTATAACTCCTGGCAGGGGCCTGCAGCTTGGTGGGGGTCAGCCTTTTCTTCCAGGCAGCTGGCGACAGGAAAAGAAGACACAGCCTCAAGCTGTGACAGGGTAGGTTCAGGCTGAATGTCAGGAGGAATGTCTTCACAGAAAGGGATGTCAAGCACAGGAACAGGCTGCCCAGGGCACTGGTGGAGTCACCATCCCTGGAGGTATTTAAAAGATGTGTAGATATGGCACTTGGGGACATGGTTTAATGGTGGACTTGGCAGTGCTGTGTTAAGGGTTGAACTTGAAAATCTTAAAGGCTTTTCCATCCTAAGTGATTCTGTGAAACTGAGCACTGCATGAAATTCTGTGCTCCTGGAATTCTGCAGTCATTCTGTGATTCTATAAAACTGCTTGACTGGAGGACATTACCTGCTCCACAGAGGAGTCCAGTGAGGATCATGTTCAGCCTCTCCTGTCCTGGGTGCCTCAGGGAGTTTGTAGTAGCAGATGGAATACTGCAGAATCCGTCTCTTACTGAAAAAGTAGACCTGTTTGTGGGTGGGGTGCTGTGGCTCCGAGGGTAGAGGTCCTGCTTAGGCTGTACTCTGTGGCAGAGAGGGCAAACCAGGTTGGAAGGAGATTGCAGCATCTATCAGCACATGTTAGTGCCCAACACATCTCCTGCCTCTGTGTGGTACTTGTTACTGAGGATCCTGATCACAGCTGGCTTCTGAGGACCACAGGTGCAGGAAGCAGGAGCCGGGTTCTGACAGTCTGAGGCCCCTGTGTCGTGACTGTTTCTGTCCATCCCTCTCGCCAGGGGCGAAGGGCGCTGCAGACACTACATGATCCAGGTGCAGCCCAACGCTCGCTACGTCATCCTGGGCGAGGACCGGGCGCACGCCTCGCTGACCGAGCTGGTGCGCTACCACCAGAGCGTGGGCATCCAGCCCTTCATGGAGAGACTGACTGTCCCCTGTGGGCAGGTGAGTGCCCAGGGGCTCCAGGGGGAAAAGAGGATGGGGTGTGGTCTGTGCCTTGAGTGAGTGCTTAGAGACGCTGCAGCAGCATCTCTTTTGTGTTCCTGTTGAGAGGTATCCCATTTTGGCCAAGCAGCTTGGCTGCTTCTGCATGCACTGGGAAATGCTGCTAGCTGGGGAGTGCCGGGATGGGGGAGAGGCACTGGCAGGTGGGTGACACCCCACTGCCCCCTGAATGTCAGCAGTGGACACAGCTGGGTATTTCTCTTTGTTGTGCTGTTCAGTCTGTGTGAAGGGTCTGCAAACCACTGCTGAATCCACTCCTTCTTTCTCCAGAAAAGTAGTGAGAGCTTGAATTACAAAAATCTGGAGAACCTCACACTGAGTTCACCAGCAGACAAGGGGGAGACCCCTCCAGAGAAACAGTCCTGCCCCTCCATGCCTTCCAGTGGCACATCTGCTCTGCAGTGGTTCAGGAGGACCAAGAATTTCCAAAACCAGCAGACCCCAGAGAAGAGTAGAACAAAGCCTAGCTCTGGAGAGAGCAGCCAACGAGCCTTCCCTCGCCTCCGCTCTTCCATACGCCTGGCAATGCAGGAAATCCAGCAGGTGAGCTGGGGCATGTCCTCTGCTAAGCCACAGCCCCTCTGGGGCACATGGAATTTCCCTGCCCAGAGGCAGGAGAGAAGAGGGTTCCACAGCTAGCACCTGGCTCCTGGGTTATGGGTTTTATTTGGTGGTCTTGGGATCAAGACTGTATTCCTTGGAATATTCCTTGCCAGCCTGTGCTCCCCTGCCAATGATGTTTCTCTGCTTCTCACCACAGTTCACTTCCAGTCCCATGAACATGTCTAGAGAGAGGAGCTCACTGCACTGAGGATGCACAACCTGGGTGACACGGTAAGAGGAGGCAGTGTACAGGGGGGAAAACAGCAACTGCTGTTTCCTGGGATGTGGAGGAGCAAAGGAACTCTTCCCTTCATGTTTCACCTGTAGCATCTCTTGGCCACAAGCTACATAGAAGTAGAGCAGGAAAAATGGAGACCAGCAGCCAGCTTCCATCCCAGGACTACACAGAGACCAGGGAAACCCGGGAAAATCAGCCTAATTTTGGGTTCCCAGCAGCTGTGGTGCAGGGAGTGCTTGCAGTACAATAGCCAGGCTGCTGGAGGGAGCTCACAGTTTGTTGGAGGGCTGGGGCTGGGAGGACGAGGGCTACCAGGATGCATGCCACAATAGTCAGCTCCAGTGGCTTCCTGGGCTGGAGGGGCAGTGGTGGTGGGGAGCCCTGTGGGGCAGCAGAGACAGCAAGCTGAAGGCAAGGCTCAAAGCAGGGGAAAAGGCAGCAAATTTGTTGATGTAAAGAGGACTTTCAACAAAGTCTCAGCGGTGGAAACACTGCTAGTGATTGAGATTGTGATACAGTGGGTGGGTGACACGGGTTTGGAATGGGCCAGAAGAGGCCTTTTGACTGACCTTGCCTTATCTGAAGTATCTGGTGGATGTGCAGCTCCCCTGTCGCACTCAACTGCTGCAGGCTGCTGGGAGCTGTAGTGGTGCTGTAGTACACCTCTGGAAGACTCTTGGTACGTGTCAGCTGAGCATGGAGAGGGATCAGAAGGCCATGCTTTTGGCTGCTGACCCACTCCAGGGCTTCCAGCCACACACCAAGATTGCCAAGTTTCCTGCGTGGTTCTGCTCCCATGCTGGAAGTCATGCTGGAGCAAAGCTTTTTAGCTGGGGCCTGTCTTGTCTTTCCCTTCATAGCTGAGAAAGACAGGAACTCTTCAATAGCTGAAAAAATCCTCTCCCTGAAGTGTTTGGCTTAATTGCTTCATTTCTCTGTGTCCCATTCATTGATGTACCCAGGGGATGCTCCCTGTGTCAGAGGTTAGGCAGAAAAAAGGTAAAACACAGGGATCGGCATAGATAACTGCAAGCTTGTTGTACTGAGATACCTAATTGTGTATTTTTGTATAAAAAAATTATATACAAAATATATTTTATATCTAATTGTGAATCCTTTTGTGTCATCCAGTGAGTTGTGTTTCTTGACTGTCTTCCAGGTCCAAGTGGCTCAGACCTGTCCTCTTCCAGTGTGGTTGGGCCTTGCCTAACAGTGAACACATCCAGAGATACAGCAGCCTTTTTCTTTTTTTTTTTTTTTCTTTTTTTTTTTTAACTTTTCTTTGCTGCACCCAGCTGTCCCTGTACTTTCAGACAGAGCTGATGCAGAAGTTCCCTTTCCTCAGCACTGAGGCAGATTGTGACTGCAGCATCCAGACCAGTCTGATCCTGGCAGAGGGGAGAGGATGGGAAGTCACACTCTGCACAGACCCACGGTGCCTGACAGGCTGTGTGTCAGTACTTCACTGTTCCTGGAGACTCCTTGCCTAGCACTGTGAATAGTCACAAACTCGGTATCTCCCAAAAACCTCTTCTGCCACAAATATCTGATTACCTACCTCTTTCTCTTTTAATATTCTCTGTTTTGGTCCTGTGTGTCTGCTGCTCTGGGAGCCAAGGGAAGTTGGGCTTGGGCAGTAAAAAACAAAACTGAAGTGTCCTTTTTGTTGAGTGCAGGAGCACTTGAACAGAAGCTGAGACAAGGTCAAGAAGGTCTTTCTTGTAAAGGGGATTCACTGCCCATGCACCAGTGTGCTGGCACACTGCTCCACAGTCCTTAACCAGAGCTAAAGTCAGGGAATCATTGGTGAAACCCTCTCACTCATCCTGGCTGAAATCTCTACAAGTCCAGGCTGGACAACATGCTGCTTTACACTGAGGGTGGGTAGAGGGCTTGGAATGTAAAGGACCATACTACTTGTTCTGTTTTTCCTACCTTTTAAAATAAATCTTTTTTTTTTTGCCTGTGTGGAGAAACTCGGTGGTTTTTTTGTTGTTGCTGTTACCTGCAGTCAGTTCAGCCACAAATGACAAATAAAAGAGAGCAGCTAACAGCTCTGGGGGTAGACATGGGATCATGTGAAAGTGGAGAAGCTGAAGGCACGTGGGGCATTGACCCTGGCATACAACTGCTACCTGTAACAGCCACTCCTCTTGTACTTACTTATGCCTGAAGTACGTCTGGAGTGCTCCTTACTCCACTTGTAACATCTCTTTCTCAGCCAGCCTCATTTCCCTGTGGCTCTGTTTCCCTGGCTCTGCTCTAAACGACAGCCAAGCTGCCCACCCCACCTGCCCCTTCCCTGGGAGCGTGGCTGTGTCCAGGCTGGTGCTGTTATCACTGTGATACAGGGTGTGGGTTGCAGTGTCTCAGCACTGCCTTTAGTCACAGGGCTGTTTCTCCTCCCTCGCCCTGCTCTGGTGCTGAGCTGTGCTGGATCACAAGGCAGCGCTGCTGGCTGCAAGACAGGGAAGCAGTGGCTGTTCCTGGCTCTCCCCAGCACTGCCTTGCAGCTTTAACACACCTTTTCTCTTCCTCATGTTGGGTTTTGGCAGCTGCTTTGAAGCTGTTCAGGAGAGAACTAGTTCAGGCAGTCAAAGGCTGCTGTTGGCAGATTCTTCCTGGCTGAGCCCAGGGGCGTTTTGCTGGGCAGCCTTGGCTTCTTTTCCAGGGTTCTCCTTAGTTTCCTCCACCACTGGGCTGCTGGGAAGCCTGCCTTCTGGGCAGCACATAGAACCACTTGTGGTCAAAACTCTTCTAGGAACTCGTGCACAGAGCTGAGACATGTATGAGAAATGCATGTCAGTAATGAAGTCCCTCAGTAACTCTTTCCTAGTTCCTGTGCCAAGAATATGGTGCACGCCCAGGGCTATGATCCAGCTGCAGAACAGCTCCTGTAGCTTGGCAGGGATCATGCTGAGCCAAGGAGGGTGGTGAAGAGCTCTTCCCAGCAGTGCCTCCAGTTCTTCCTGGGTGCTGCTGCAGGCACAGGTCACAAGTGACACAGGAATGACATGAGGTGGGGGGGGTCAGGATGATTCCCTGGTAAATCTTCATGGCACATCTGGCAAGCTTCCCCAGAGCAGAGCAGATCAATCACAGATTTCTGTTGCCTCTGTTGCAATGGGTGCAAGTTGAATCACAGGGTGTGCAGCCAGGAGCCTGGCACACACCCAGGCAGCACACCTGTGTTGGCAGGTCAAGTCTCTCTCACATCTGTTACTTCTGCTTTTTTTGTGACAAGGCAGGAGGGAACCAAGGGAAAAGAGGGTGAGAAGCTGCTGGTCAGAGGAGGTTATGCAACACAGGAGACACTGGCATAACTTCTGCAGTGCTCTGGTTTGCAGAGTCATTAGCAAACAGCCAGTGCCCTGCCTACACACAAAGTCTAGCCAAGCTTCTGGAGAGCAGTGTGGCTTGTGCTAGGCTGTCATGGGCACAAACGTGTGCCAGCAGTTGGGAAAAACTGGAGGAAGAGCTGGGAATACAATAGGCTGCTGAAGAATAAAATGCAGATTTGGTATCTCTACTGTGGTCTTTGCCTGCGTGTCCCCAGCTCATGGCCAAAGTCAGCACTGTGGGAAAGCTAAGAATTAATTTCATCTTCTCCCTGAAGATGACCTGTCCTATGAAGACAAGCTGTGAGAGTCAGGATTGCTCAGTCTGGAAAAGAGGAGGATCTGGGAAACTTTATAATATCTTCCAATACCTAAAGGGGTTACAAGAGAGTTGGAGAAAGACTTTTGACAAGAGGCTGTAGTGATAGGACAAGAGGCCGTGTCTTCAAACTGACAGAGGGTGGGTTTAAATCAGATATCAGGAAGAAATCATTTGCTGTGAGGGTGGTTGAGGCACTGAAATAGGTTTCCCAGAGAGGCTGTAGATACCCTATCTCTGAAAGTGTTAAAGGCTGGACTAGATGGGCAACTTGACCTAGTGGAATGTGTCCCAATCTATGGCAGGGAGTTGGAACAAGATGATTTTTACGGTCCCTTCCAACCTAGGCCTTTCTATGATTCTATGATCCAATTATTCATTGAAGAGCAGCAGGTACAGGAGCAGCCCTACCTCATTTTCTATAGCAGCATCTTACCTCATGGCACTTGGAAAGTTATGCCTCAGAAAAAAACAAAGAATAAATCGTGTAAGCCAGGGTGGGAAGACCTTTCATGATACATCATGCTATAGTTCAGCTAGTGTGTGATGAAATGTATTTATACATTTATAGGATTTATACATTTGCTCTCCCACAGAGAGAGCAAGTACCAGGCTTTACTGGGCTGAGTGAGCAGGGCAGCGCTCAGAAGAGGGTCAGGCAGCCTGTGGATCCCCTGAGCACTGCATTTCATTCCCCATGGAAGTTAAGCTGACTCTGAGAGGAAGGATAGGAACAGAAACACAGGTGTGGGGAGCTGGGAAGAGCCAGCACACAGGAAGATGGGAAGAGCAGCAAGAAGGATTTGCAGTCCACAGGAGTGAGAACTGGAAGTGCTTCTCTGAGCCTGAAGGCTTGGGATTAATTTTATTTCATAACCTGGGCCTTAATAGTCATCCCCCTGCACTCCTTCTCTCTAACTAATGTTTCATACCATCCTTTAGAGAGCTTCCCTAACCTTCTTTCTTGTTTTTTGCAGAAGGGTTTTGTGCCCCTTTGTTACCTCCCTCCATCCTTTGCATTTGAATGATCTTGGCTGCAGAGCATTTAGTCAATCACCTCTGGACTAAGATCTACTCCAGGTTAGTTTTGTCCTGTCCAAACTAAAACTCTCTCACCTTTGGCCCTTGAGGTATCTGGCCAGCAACTCTCCAGCAGGCTGGCTGAAACAGAATTTTCACTCTCCTTCCATTCTCAATCTTTTCTGTTCCTCTTTTTCACAGTTCTGTTTTTTCTCCTCCTCTCCTCTGTCTGGCCATCATCTTTGATGTACGTTTGAGTTTTAGGAATGCTTGTAACCCAAGCACTGATATGGCACTTACACTCTTTTCACGAAGGCAGCTTTAGTGTTGTTTGCTTTCTTCCTGGGCAACTTTATAGAGTGTGTTGACATGTTTCCTTCCCCAAATGTGTCTTAAAGACTGATTTGGCGTTCAGCCCAGACAAGGGCTACTCCACACTACCTTTAGCCTCACTCCACTCCAGCCTGTGTCAAGTCACCATGGAGTGTTGTGACAGCATCTCTTGAGATACAGTCATTTCCTGTCTTGTAGCTGACTTTGTTATCCATACTGAGTTCTCACATGGTGTGACTTTGCTGTATTTAGGACTGGCTTTTTGACAAGGGCTTTGTATATCAGCTTTCTCCACCTGGTGCACCACAAGAGCACAGAAACCACTGTGAGATTTAGGGGACAAACCTGCACCAGGTTCTGGCTGTGAAGGTGGCCAGTGGGTTGTGGTTGCCCACATGTTTTCACCAATCTTTAATCAAGATTAAACTCTGCTTAATCTTATTCTGACCAAAGCATCATTTTGCCTGGTGGTCCTTGCTGGGTTGTTTTTCCATAATAGAATCTGGTTGCCTTTGATCCATTCTGCATTGTTTTGTATCCCAGAAATCCTAGTTAATGAATTCCTCAGACTTACAGAGTCACAAAGTGGGTAAGATTGGAAAGGACCACATTTGGTCCAACCTTCCTGTTCAAGCAGGGTCATCCTAGAGCACTTTGCGGAGGATTGAGTCCAGATGGTTCTTGAATGTCTCCTGTGAGAGAGTGTCTACAGTGAGAGAGACTCCTCAATGTATAGTGAAAGACAACTTAAATTTTCTTCAACCTGCTATGTTATTACTTAATTAATATACTTGTTTTTCCTATACTGTAAAATAAAACAGTATTCATTTCCCTTTCCCCTTTTCCACTTCTTCTTAATTCCACTGTCCCTTCTCTGAGAAGGAAGGGAGAAAATCTATAACTGATCCCCAGGCCACTTTCCCAGCTGGGGATAACTGGTCTGAACACCTTTGCACAGTTAGAGCTTCTCCTACCCACACTTTAATTTATCATTTTATCCCCCAGCTTTCATTCTGAGATCTTGCTCATTTTCACTACACTGCATTCTTCAGCCTCACCATCAAACTTTTCCCCCTCACTGCTCACACACAGACCATTTATGAATACATCAAAAATCACAAGCTGTAGCACAGATCCTGGTGGGACACACTGGTATGTTCCATTTTAAACACTGACCTTTTTCCATTCATTATCTTCTGCCTTGCTCTTAACCATGGGAATAAGCGTG